TGGATAATTTATTTTCCTACAATTCTATTATACAGTCCGTCGTGCAGAGTGTAATCTATCTTCCCTCGAAGTGATCTGTTTTTGCTTCGTTACAATGTAATTTAGTATACCGATGTATATGCACAGAATTTCGAACGAATCTAACGAGACAACGTCCCATGTAACGTCATAGTGTAGTCAGTACGGAAACACGCATTGCTAATTATAGAAACTAAATATGAGATAATTAAGGAACTTGAGAGTGGCGCAAGTGCAGCTGCACGAGTCGGATATCGCGCTGATAAATCTGTAATTGCAAATAGACGACGAACCAGAGGAAGTAACGTTACTGAAAACCACTGAAAGATAATACCTTAAATATCGCCTTTTAATTATTGACACAGCACATAGCGGAAACTCTTCTGTTACCATATTCGATTGTTTGTAATACCTCGCCATCGGCACCGGTACTGACGTCACTGGTACTTGTGCTTTTAATAACTCGATTAACACATGTGTTACTCGCAAGAGGGCCATGCCCTGACGTGCTAAATATAAAAGAGGTGCAATTACCTTTAAACCTTTAGTAATATTAAACTCTACTTTTCATACTTTTTAGTATTCATAAAATTTTATTCCATTATTTTATTCAGCATATCCTATATATCTTCTCGTGTTTTATTCTTCTACATTTGTATAGTATTTGTAAGAATTTGTACAATAACCAAACCTTCGACATATCTTTCTATATTTAATGATATTTATTTGAAATTAATTACAAATTTTGCTAAATTAATTTTAGATTAAGTATAATACTAAGAAATTCTAAGAAATTACCTTTAACTTCATTTTTCCATATTTTTATAGTATTTATAAAAATCTGATTAATATCCATTATTTTATTGTGCACGAAATATAAACAAAACTCTGAAATATCTTTTCATATTTAATAAACTCGAAATTTTCTTAGAAATTTCGATGAATTGATTCTAATCTAAATAAAGAACTATGAACTTCGAAAAGTTGCATTTTGTATAAACTTCTTTTCACTCACAAAATTTCTTTATTTACGTTCTTCTTTACTACAGTTTCTCCTTCGTATTACGACATAACTTCTCCTCACCTACAAATTTCTCTACTCAAGTTCTCTACTATCCCATTTCCTCTTTTATGTTACGTTCCACATCAAAATTCAAAAGAATACTTTTTCATAAGAATTATAATTTTTCAAAGGATAACGGTGAAAGGCACAATGTGCATTCTCATCGATCCTACCTTGATGAATGAGATACGTGAGAATAGGAAAGGCAATCAATGAGTATCGGTGAATATTTATTTATTACACGTGAAACTCGAATTGGTTACGCAACAAGATTATATTGTTGGGTAAATTTCCGTGTAATTGCAAAAATACTCTTGTATACATTATTCATAACCTCCGTTCTGAAGATAAACGCTTTTAACGGTTTGTGACATCACGCACGAGCCACACGTGAACTCCAGTTGCTGGAAGAGGCGGTTTGCGCGGCTTGCGTGTATACACAACATCCTCCAAACATCGAATATCTATTTTTTCCTCTGAGACTGCGTTCGACCTAATCAGATACGTTTCGACGAAATCGAGGAAACGTCGAGAAACGAAGATCATTTCCGGCAGAGTGTAATTTCTTGGAACAAAAGTGTCAGATGCTTTTGTTTAATTATTGGTAAACATTAAAGAAAAAAAAAAATTAAACGAAAAGATAAAATTATTTAATAAAAGAATTAAAGATAAATTTTTCTTATCTTTGTTCTTGTTTTCTTATCTTTTTCTTATTTTTGTTAATTTCAGAGTACAATTAATTTTATTCTAACAACATAGTAACATAGAATATATCGATTATCGGTCAATAGTAAATAAATTTCTTTGTCTTTTTAATATACGTTATTCGTTTTGTAAAATTTGTTTCGGTTCTTAATTGTTTTAGAATTACGTTAAAAATGAATAAAGTCAATGAATGGAAATGCCGAGCTAGTCATGTACTATCAATTATCTCGCAAGATATTTTCGTTACGCGATAATGGACGAGAAAAATGTTGGATTGGGAAAGAAAACTAAGTGCACGATGTATTCCTGCGTTAACTAGCTCGAGGAAATCCGAACAATCTTCTCGGATTACAGGAATGATTCCGTGGAAGTGTTAATAAAGTAAGTTCTCCGCAAACAATTTAAAACGAGTTCACACGCAGAAATGATACGCCCTATATTTCTAGCCGGTTGCAAGAATTAACTACACGGTCAATTTACTCACCGATACCCAATGAAATTTAGACGTTTCCCGATTTGTTTGTACAGAACATCGCGCCTACGTAAAATATTAACACATAGGAATAAAATCAAAATATTGTTCCAAGCAGTTATACATACGTTTGTTTGTGCTCATTAATGTATTCCGAATCTTTTCCGCCGCTCTTTATCAGGCAGTAAATAAATTTCTAACCTTACTATCCATAGAGACAAATATTTGGAAATTAATTTAAATATCTGCTTAGAATTATCAATCTGTAAGGTGCGTCTAAATATAATATAGATAAATAATATCAATTTTAAAGTCTTACAATGAAAATAAATAATACTATATGATACGCGATGTATAATTACGCTCTTATTTTCATGAAAGTCAAAGTTGATTTTGTAGAAGAACCAGTTGTACGTTTTCAGCAACCGAGTCTCTTAGTACCTGCGAACTAATATTCCGACAATTAAGGTAAATGGAGAGCTTTTTGTTTACTCGTGTACGCTTGGTCCCCATCAGAACTAAAACTTTTAACGCGATATACACAAGTACTTATTTCGTCATTTTGGTTTACGAGCCCCTCTTTCAGCAACAACCTCAATTGTAAAATGAAAAAATTTAAAACCATTGTACCTTGTTTGGTAATCCTAACGTTGACTTGGAACCTAACTATATACATCTTTGTTTCATTGTAAGAAACAAATTACACCAAAAGTAACCAAAATTCTGATAATACGTTACTCGTAAATAAATAGTAAATATGCGTAGTACCTCGAAATAAAATTCATAATGGCGTTAAAATATTCCAACAACATCATACTCTCGAAATATCAAACAAGGCGTGTCGAATTTCCAGAAGAGAATTTATTTGCCACTCGATGGACCTCTCGATCGCGAATCGACGCATGGCCGACATTGCTACACGCATGTGCCGCAAATCGTTGGCACTCGCGTTCCAAAAAGCGACACGAGGTTGCTTCAGATGCTTGTCCGACATCGTGTCGTCTTTCGTTAATTTACTCTCACCTACGTTCATAAACGACGTACCACGTACGATGTGCCATTCGGTTATCGACTTTCTAGGTCTCGCGGCGCGAAAGAAAGCTCGCGGATCTCGTATTGAGATATAACGAGATAACGGCGACCAACCGGAAACGGTGCAGGCGACTTGCTCCGGAGAAGTTCTCGCGTGCCAACTTTGATCAGGCCCGTTTCACGCGGTGAAAATTTGCGATAACTCCGCGGGATACTTTTTCCTTCCTCTCTCCACCTCTCTCACCCCTTCTCCCTCTCTCTCGCGCTCTCTCCTCTCTCTCTCTCTCTCTCTCGTTCACTGTGACTCTGTTCCACCATCGGTGCAGCGATTTCTTGCGCAATCGTGCAGCTGAACAAGCCGGTAGCTCGATATAGATCGATACCCGCGATCGTTGCGAAAGTTCATTCATCGACGATGAACGAATGTCGAATGGTGGATGTTCGTTCGAAATTGAAATAAAATCGTCGTATAAAATCGGCTGTCCTATAAAATGAGCGTAACCGTAGATAGGCTTGTATGGTAACACCACTGGATAAACGACACGTTAGGGGAATCAACGTTAATTCCGCTCCTCTCTCTCTCTCTCTCTCTCGTTCTCTCGCTCTCTCTCTTTTTCTCTAAGCCAAGGTGACGAACGCACGCGATGACGTTAAACGATGACGATGGTGAAAAAGAGTAACACCGTCTAACCGGCGACGCGTGAACGGAGCACAGTTTCGGAAAGAAACGTGTAGATCGGAGGAAAAATTGACGACCCGAGAGAATTAGCCAAGTAGGTAACTAAGCCCTTAATCTACGAACGAACGGTACGCAAGTGGGATATTTCAAGGACTCACTCACCACAGCCTCGGTGACCGGTATCCACGTGACGACCAGTAGGGCAAGGACGCAGGTGACTCGCAGGACAACCGGGAACGGAGGTAACCCGCGGGCTGTGCTGCTGGACGTTGCCGCGGCCCTAGGCCGCATTGTGCCCGACGCTTCTCCTCCTCCTCCTCTTTCTTCTTCCTTCCGTTTTACCTTGCTCGTTTTCCCCGTTTACCTGTGTTCTCGGCCCGTGGAGAGTGCGACGACAGCCCTCTGAATAGCCGATACACCGATCGGGCTATTCTAACGTCGTTCGAATGGCGCACACGGTTGCTCGGATTGCGAGGTCTCCGGTGTGCAGTTAAGAGATGTGTCGTGGTTGGAAAACGATGCGGTGGCTGGTCGGCCAGCCTGTCGACGCAGCGCGTGTCGAAGGGCCAGACAGACGGCCCGCTTGGCCCGTCCTCCCGATCGGTCGCCGCTTCGCGCAGCCAGACAGGCCTAAGTCGGCAGCGGAGGAGGCGCTCTTCTCTCTTCTCCTCTTCGTGAAGCTGTATCCTTGCGCGACCGAGCGCGTCACGGTGGCGGGCAAATGTTCCCCTCTCGCTCTACTCGCCGGTTCTCGCTTCGGTTTGCTCGAGCCAAAGAGACCTACGGCGCGATCGACATCGGCTGAGGCCGTGCAACAGTCCTCGTGCGACGCGCGACCGAGCTCGCCTCGACCCGGTCAGCAATCCTCTCCTCCTCTTCCTCCTCCACCTCCTTCACCACCCTCTCCTTCTTCTTCTCTTCCTCTCTTCTCCAGCTCTCTTCTCCTCTCTTGTCTTCCTCTTCTTCTGCTTCTCTGCTTACTTCCCTCTCCAGCCACGTTCTTCTTCCCTTCCTCCCTTCCTCTCTCTTTCGGCTTCTCCCGCTGTCCTTCCTTCTTGCGCCCTGCTGCTGGTATCTTCTGGTCCCGCAGTTGGCGGAGGCAGGCTGGAGAGTTCGATTCTCTGGACACGAGTGTGGAGATCACAGCGAGAGAGCGGGGGAGGTACAGCGCGAACAGTGTGAGAGCACACGAGCTCTCGCGGAACCGAGAGAAGCCTCTCTCCCGATCCTTTCGGCGGAGGAATTCTAGCTGGCGTGGCTCGGCGGCCGCCTCCACCTTCCTTCCCTCCACCCGAGTTCATTCAGAGCCCTCCCTGGATGGGACGGTCCACACACCACGTCTACTCGGTGCCGGGTTCCCCGCGATATTTTGTGACTGCCTGTCCGTGCGGTGCTCGTGTTAGCCTGTGCTCCTCGGCTCCCTAGACCCGTCGCGGAATAGGGAGGTCGAAATGACCCGGTTGGGATTGCGGTGAGTTACGATTCATCTTACTTTTCTCTTCTTTCCTTAGCTCTTTTCCTATTGCTTACTCTTCTTCGTCTTCTTCGTCTTCTTCGTCGTCCTCTATCTCCTTTCGTTCTTGCACCTCTGGTTTCCCGTCTTCCCGGTAACGTTGCTGGTTCGTCAACCTGTTGTTACGTCAATGATCTCTATATTGCGCGAACACGTGCGTTTAGCAAACGTGCCGTTCGTGCTGCGCTTTCCTACCACGGTGACACGGAAGCATTGTTCGAGATATCTCTCTCCGCTATGAACTCTGACGGGCTACTGCTGTGCGTCGAATAATCGCCTCTCTCTTCACGTACCACTTGCCATCTTAGTTTTCCCAGTCATCCTGCCTAGACCATTGGTACCTGTACCCGCTCCACCGATCCGTACGTTCGCTCCTTTATTTATTTTTCCGGCACTTCTCTCTGCTCGTTCCCCCTCGGTGCACGCGCCACAAGTATTTCAATGACGGACGGAGGGGGTACTTTCATCCCCCCGTTACGTACCGACGGATCGGCGAGTGGATTTCAAGGACGAAACCCGCGCGTGTTTACGGTCAATTATCCTTTTGACGGGGAACGTAGCACCGTCTCGTACCCTTTGTGCCTCAAAACCTGTGTACCCGTCACGTCTTTTCGCCTCGATCGCGCCAGCAATGGATCTTCCAATCCGCGCAATCTGGATACATTTTCGTACTTGGAAGTCCGTCGAAGAAATTCTTGGGGGTCCCAGCGGGGACGTCTTTCATTTTCGCTCCTGTATCCCTCCGACCTTCCATTCTTCTTCTTTTCTATAACACAACCTGGTAAATAAGTTTGACCTGTCAAATTCCTCTTCTAACCACCAAAAATTTCATGAAAATTCAAACCCTCTGTAGACCTTGGGATATATAGTGGTATGTCGAATACCTATTATACTCGATGATTTCTCGTGTGTCAAAAATTGGAAATGCATATTCTTCCAGCATTCAGTCCCCGACCTAAATGCTTGTAACGTGCATCCATGAGAAATAAAGTTTCATTTCGAAGTTATGAAAAACGGAGGTCCCCCTAAATAAATATATCATCTGACAGTCACTTTCGTTTAATAATTATCGAAATTCTCCTTTCAGATTTGTCGCATCCGCAGTCTTCCTGGCCGGGATAGTCAGTGGGGTACGTAGAAAGCAGTTCTACCTTTGATAAGCTCTCCGACCGGTAACGTATTCTCACCCCGTGTATCGTTCGAGACGGAGAGGATCGTGCGATCGGCTCGATCCATTCATCGATTACGCTCGCGTCGGTGCACTCGAGCACGCAATGCACGTGCATCGGGCGTTGCATCGGGCGTTGCATCGGTTAGAAAAAGTCAGTGGAATCGAGAGGATCGCGTTTCGTGACGCGTGCGATTCGACCTTCTGCCTCTTCTCCTCTGTCGTATTGTCTACGTGTTCGAGAATCGAAGGAGTCGCGAGGGCGAAAAAGCTCTATCGAAGGTCGGCAGACCTCTGGCTGGCGTAACACGCGCGACTCGCGCGAACACGTCGATTGGCCGCGCGATTAGATCATCGGGAGCGTCGTTGTCTCTGCGCTCCTCCGCCGAGACGCTCGCGAGGCGTGGGACTTTGAACATTTCTGCTCAATCTGTCCAACGATGTCGATGAAATAGTTTCTAGAATTCCGTGGAATTCGTCGTCAATGACCTGCTGGCATTGTTAAGCGAATTATGCAGACGTTGACTCGTGATTGGAATCTAAATTTATAGGTCGATAGCTGCGCACATGGATTGGTACTTCTAACCGTTCGCACTTTGACAGACTTTGACAGACTTTGACAGACAGATCCTTAATTCCCAATTAACAAGAATTCCAAAGATTTATGATCGATATTAAGTTTGAGATGATGTCACGATGGGTGAAATACTGGATCAAATTATTAATAATTATCGCAAAAAATATTAATATCATTGACTGTCTAGAAAAAAGTTTCCAATTGCTACTTGCTTGTGCAGAAAATAGAATTCTTTAGGTTGAGTGTATGAAAAATTGAACACTAGTCATAGCTTTTTAGTATTAAAATAGAGAAATTTTCAGAAGATAGAATTGATCAGATTGGCTGGTAAATAAGTCATATATAGGTACAATTAAATTGAAATTAGTCGTGATCGCTCATCACTCAGTTCGAGGTTGAGTAAGATAATTCGTACTTCAGTTTATAATCTCTATCAGTATCTCTTCAGTTGATAGACTTCGACGAATTAATCTGAAATCAATATACTACCTCTAGTGTATGTAGTGTATATAGAGCTAGTATCTCGATAGTGACCTCATAGACCGAGTAGGACTTCCAACAAATACGTCTATAAGGCCACTGAAAGCTACACAGCCTCGCAAATTTCTGTAAATAATCCATTTTCTAGCCGAATATATCACCCGAGGAGCTCGTGTTCGTTTTTGCGCGAAGCAATTTTGAAAGGACTATTCCCTAGTTCGATACGGTGCGATGCTAACGAATTGTTCCAGAAACTCGTTCTCCCCCTCGATACACTTTCGACAAATAGTTTCGAGTTTTTCACCGGTCCTCTAGAACACGATTCCGTATGAAAGAACAATCATATAAAGAAATTGTTCTCCAATTCGATGTCGTACAGACACCAAGACTCGCGTCAAGAAATTCTTTATTGCTAACACTTCAGAAACTGATTCTTCGCCAGGCTATGTTACAAGCTGAACGAGTCGCTTCGGAAACCTGTTCTCTGGCAACGCACAATGCAGTTTCGATCCTACCACGAAGCCATAAAATTTTGACAAATTGCAACGTCTTTAAGAAAAAAACCAAAAAGGAGGTTTGCTTCCGACAATGTCGATCTGACGAGGGTGAACCTTCGCCAGTCTCTCTCTCTCAGCCTCTTTCTCTTTATTTTCTCGATGAACTTATGTTCGTAGCGACATGCATCGAGAACACGACCGATAACGAACAGACCAGTTGCGGATGCGATAAGAGTGTTTCTACAGATTTGACGACAAACAACGAAAAGGTGTTAAGACCGAAATAGGGCAGTCGTCTGTTAGCGACCAGTCCGCCTACGACGTCGTAACCGCACTCTGTGTAATTTTATTACGCCACGTACATACACGTGTACCCTGTACAAGCACGCGAGCCAGCTTAGTCACTATTGAAAATAGTTCGGAATTAACCGTGACTGGATTACCATCGTCTGAAGAACTTAATCGTCCTCTCTGGCTTTTCACGACCGCACAGTCTTCTCGCGAGAGGTTGCGGGTCGGAGCGTTGCGTTTGGGGTTGAATAAAAATTTTCCAATTACGCTTTAGAAGTTCACGTGACTTCCCATTGGTCCCGTTGTTTAATTGGTCTCGGATGAAACTGGTTTTTGTCGAGTGAACACCCAGCATATGCAGATTCGAACACTTTGATATCCGCAGTAGAATTTGGTCACACGTTTGTCTTCCCTACTTTCTCTTATCTGACATCGCGAGATTAAGAAGTTTGCGCAGCAAAATCGTCGGAGTATGTTTATTTTGACGGTAGACTTATTTCATCCTGACATTGTCAGCAACACCGTTGCGATTTTCTTTCGCGGATATTCGTGTCGTGACTCGCGATGACACGAATCGATAGGCGATCGTTTCGTTTCGATCCTCTGAATGCACCTGGCCGAGGTTCAGGGTAACCTTCGCGGGTAGAATCGTGGGTAAAATTCTTCGATTTCCTCTGCTCCGTCCGTGGATAGGGCTGCCATTGCGTCTACTATAAAATTTTCGAGTTTCATGTATGCTCAGTGACGCGTGAAACGCGAAAAATTGCATCGCCAGGCGGCAACGACTCGTGTCGTAGCGAAAGTGTTTAGTTAGAGGAACGGGTTTATGGAGCGGCGGGATTAATGATGATCGTTGTGGAGTCAATTGCACGTTAAACGCTCTTAAAGACGGCATAACTCGCAGATAAATCGCGGCGGATGAAATTGTGATTACGGATAGTTGTTACGATGGTGTATGAACTCGTTTCACGGATGGAACATGCTAATTAGCGGGCAAACACTTGTCTAGATCTGATGAAAGGTTAGGGTAACGAGCAAAATAGATACTCCGCGAAGAATATCATGTTTCACGTTTCGACGTAATGAGATTACTTTATGCGTGATATATTATCTGTAACTTCGGTAAAAGATGATCGAGAAATTTTTTATTTCACGAAAAATACGAAAGACATCTTATTCAATTTTGAATATGCGATGTTGAATTTTTTGTTCGAAAGATTTAATAAAAAGATCGAATAGCCGGTAAAATATATATTTTATGTATCCATATAATTGGATTATCTTATGTATGAAGTATTATCTGTAACTTAAATGGGAGATAACTGAGAGATACTTTATTTTACAAAAAATGCGAAAAAGATTTTTTTTCTTATTTCAAATGTAGGATATTAAATTTCTTTTCTTTTTGTATATTTGAAATGAATCGAATTTTTGTTATTGTTTATTTTTACTTATTGTCAAAATTTTTTGTTATTACTCAAGTTCCAATAGATCAATAATTAAAATGTAAGTTTAGAAATATTTAAATTATTCAGCTGTCTTTGTTTGGCTATAGTTTCTTTGATTCGCATTAGAACATGAAACACAAGATACACAGTTACACACGATTCTTATGTATACTTGAGGAAGAATAACATTGGAAGAAAGGAAATGTAAAACCAACTGGTTATGTAAGATTTATTATCGTATAAAAACATTAAAGTAACTCGCAAATATTTCTAAATATAATTCCTATTTTTTATAAAAAAATACTTAACAAATAACAAAACAATATTTATTATATAATTGTTTTTAGAAAAATGACTAGATTTTTGTCATTTAGGTAACATAAATACCATTAAAATAGCTATTAATATATCCACTTCATCCATTTCACACGAGCCATTTTATTATCAAGACACACTACTCTGCATTTCATCCAAACCAATTCAAATTGTCACACTAATCTATCGACACTCGTCAACTACCGAACAAAAGCAGCTCATAAAGATTGCCCCTTTGTGTGCTACGCAGATTACTTCATGCAATGCTACAATCTTATTTCGAGCTGAACTCATAAGTGTTCTCGTGTAGTTGCGTCCACAAAATAATCGTTTGGTTCTTTCGTCATGTTCATCGTCATGCACACCATCACTACGCGTGGTTATAAGCCCTTTACAAACTGAAATAAAATGGCTGGAAGAACTGTACCCCAAAAGTTGACAGACTACCGTTAAATTCTACCTTTATGCTTTGATATTGACGTCAGATGATCATAAATCAATTTGCCAATTGTACATTCATTATTTGTCGATATGAAGTCAAACAAAATAAATTTCTATAAACGATTTTCAGAAAATTTGTTGCTTGTCAGCTGATTTCAAGGAGTTGAATGGTTGTATCGGTACGGTTGGCTAATTATTGTTGAGCTGTTTGCTCAGTGATAACGTCGATAAAGTATAAATTAACTTTGTTTAATTACATACTTGAGTTAAACTTTAATACAATAGACATACAGCTCGTAATAGATCAACTGATTTTGAGAAATTGATCTAACGTGTCGGTATAGTCAGCTAGCTACTCTCAAAGTATATCTCAGGGACCGTGTAATGACGTGAAATAATTGGAAATTAACTACGTTTAATTATACATTCATATCGAAACTTGCCAACTCGACGCAAGTTAACTAATTTCGAGAAGTTGAACGACTGAGTGAATATAGTCAGTTAACTATCATCGAGTTATTTCTCAGAGGCCAAGTAACAATGCCAAGTAGTTTGGTACAAATTAATTAATTTCCAGACGTTGAACAGTTGTATCAGGTCAATCAGCCAACTATTATCAAACTAATATCTCAGCAATTGTGTAGTAACATTAAACAATTATAAATGAACTCCGTTTAATTTGCGTCGAATTTCGGTTTATATACATTTATCAGTTGGTTCAATATTATCAAGTCTATTTCAGTGATTGTTCAATAATACCAAGTAATTGCAAACTAACTTCATATAAATATATTTTCGCGCCGAGCATTAATAACTGATTATAAATCACCCGATTTCGTGAAATTAATCACGATTATGTCAACCCAGTTAGCCTGCTATCACCAAATTGTACCTCAGTGGCTATATAATTACGTCGAATAATCGAAAATTAGCTTTTCTTAATTATATATTCGTGTCGACACCTAACCCCTATGGGTACTACAATTGGTAGCTCGGCACAAACAGACTAATTTCGAAAAGTTGAATGGATCATGTCAATATAATCATTTATCATCCATCAATTCAACTCAATTCCATAGTATTTAACTATATATATATATTTATATCAAACTCTAGTAGTTTGACAAAAGTCAACCAATTTCAAAAATTCAAACGATCGTATCGCTATATAGTCAACCAACCATCGTCAAACTGTACCTCAACAACCACATAAATACATCAAGCTAACTTCATTCCACGATACACGCTCTCTCTCTCTCTCTCTCTCTCCACTGAAAACACACCAAATCACACCAATAAATCCAAAAATAAAAGAAGAAGGAAGATATATCCGTACCATCGGAAAACTTCTTACAGCGCAGCAGTCTACCATGTCGTCCAATTTAGAGTGGCGAAACGATTGTATTCGTATATACATCCGGCTGTCCGCATACTGCGTCTTCAGCGATGGTATCTCAGTCTGTAGGAGTCTTTACGAGTACGCGGCATCCGACAAGATTGTAAAAATTGCTAGCCAACGAATTAGCGGGCCTCGTCCTACGCCGTGTTAACGTTCCTCGTTAAAACCGCTCGAATGTGGCGGTGAGGGAAAAAATAAAGGGCAGAAAGGAAGAACAGAGAGAAGTGGAAGATCGGGAACGATGAAACGCAGGACGAAGGAGGATCGATGGAACGAAGGACCGTTTTAGGGATCCAAGTGGAGACCTGGATGGCTGGTTACGTAATCGCAGATTCACGAAGGCGGCCAAGAAATGCGATAAAAGGAACGATCCTTGAACCGTCACGAGAAGATAGTCTCTCCGTATCTGGAATAAGAAAATTGGGCTGGTTTCGTTGAACGAAATGTCCGCGTAGATTGAGCCGTTTTCGTGGATGCTCGGGGACAGAGATGCGTGTGACGTTGACGATAATTCGGTTGGATGATTTTGCCAGTGCAGGAAACAGGGATTCCATTTACCAGGATAATTTTCTTTGAATTCTTTCCTTGATTTTTAGTGATTTTATCAAGGTACAGTGTTGGTGATGGATACATAAGAGATAAGACTTGAACGATATTTCCATCGTCTCAAGAAAAGAATTATATAGGTCCCTAGATCGTAGATCAAAGTGTTTATGGATAGATAGGATCGTGTGTGATTTAAGTTTCTAGTTCGAGAAGAATATGAATATATTTGTTTGTTGACTTTTCTTGAATTTGAAAAGAAATTGATAAAGGTTTTTGTAATAGAACTAGTAACTTGCTAGATAAGATAAAAGAAAAGATAAATTATAGTAATCACATCCGCTGAGAGAATAATTATTAATTTTAGATGCTAGGTAACGTGGTACATCGCCATGATTGAAATATACGATGATTAGAATTAACCGGTAATGCAATCAATATTTATCGAATACATTTCAAATAGATTTTCTATGATTTAATGTCCCTGTTAATTCAGTAACGAAGTTATTCAATCGAAGAACAGTTTATAAATGAAAATTTATATAGTTAAAATTTTTTCCAATTTCGAACATTTAAATGTTACTACAACGTTATTATAACGTCGAGTAATCTTTCTTATTTTTCATTTTATTTTTGTCATGCATGGATTAAAGCTAGATGGAATAATTTAACGCTAATGCAGCCACGTAACGTCTATCATTCATTGTTTGGAAATAAGCACATTATCGAAGGATAGTTATGCCAATTTCGTATTCATAGCAGTTTTTCTAATTTTAAATATCAATTATCATTTTCACGGTACTTCTTGCTATCTAACACAGCTGAAACTACCTGTGTTTATAAAAGGACTAACTAGATCTAATCAGAATCAAACGACTCATTTCTTTACGACATTGCGACTATCGTTGTAGAATTCAGGATCAATCAAAATCGCCGCGTAAAAATTAATTTGTACGAAAAGTAAACTTATTTGCATAAGAAGAATAGTACGAAATTTGAGACTCACGAATCGACGTATAGCGAAGCAATAATTTCTCGAAACGATTCGAAATACGAAGGATTTCATTTCCGCGGCAGTAAATTAAGGAAGTGTGAGCCCGTACATATTTTCAGCAGTGATGTCAGTAAATCTGTTTCGCGTTTAACTGATACCGAGGTCGCCGTGAATTATCGTATTATCAGCGAGTTTTGAGTATCCAGAATGAGGATTGAAAAATTATACGTCACGTGACCGCACCACGTGATCAACGCAAGCGCGAATATTAACCACAAAAATAATAAACGATTTTACCTTCGTGATTCGATGTTTCCATAAGAATAAATTGCTGGTGGCAAATCTATCGCGTCAAACCACGCAGTAAATTATCGAAAACGATATCTAATGAACATATTAATTAATACCTGCATTACAGCACGATGGAGAATTAGTCAAACGTCAAAGAAAGTTTCGTACAATAATTATCTCTTGTTTAACGCAAACTCGCCTCAATTAGACACATTAACCATGTTAAGTAACCAATAAAGCACTATTCCATCATTTTCAAGGTTTCCCTTTTCGCCGCATGTAATGTTTGCAATGTTCGTACGATATTCCAAAATATAGTGCACGTACACATCCTTCCTATATAACGAGACGTATAATCGATTATTAACAGAAGAAAATCTTTTGCTTATCTTTCTAATACTCTTTACAAGAATATATTTATTTACAGCGTACGCAAAAACCATAAAACACGTTCGTCTAACCTCGAAATTTATCATGTCCGCCGAGCTATCGAATACTTTTGCAAATACAGGCAATTTCTCGCTCTCGAAATTTTCTACGCTCTTTCTACTTCTTTCCACCAACTTTCCCAAGACGTGTCGCACCGTCGTGACACGATTATCTTCCGTTCCGATAAAGACCGTGCTTTCATTCATCTGTTTCGAAGGAAACGCTGGTAACGCGAGCGGCTCAGCGCGGCCAGAAAGGGAATCAAAGAGGAACAGAGTAACGGCGCGTTATTTCGAAACGATAACGAGCCAACGCTATCTCCCCGCGCTTCCTGTCAGCGCGTACCAACCCTAAACTGAAAAAGAAAAGAGGATAAAACTTGAAAACGAGGGCAAGACAATGACTTTCTGCGAACGAGATGAGTCATCGGCTGAATCAAGCTAATCTATATATTATGATCGCCGGACGTGAAATAGGGCTAGATCAACAATCAAGGTAGCAATTGGATGTGTCGAAAGATGTTTAGAAAACTGTAATGTTCGTCTCGTACGTGTTTGAACAATGTATTTGAAATGTTGCGTGCTTCTATGAGTCGGAAGAGATTTTGGAGAGTTGGTGGAAGGTCAAGGCAGTAATAGTGACGTTTGGATTTGTGAAGAATTAATTTTGTATGGCAATTCGATTTAAATAGCAAAATTTGATGTTTATAGTGTAGTGGGTATTTAACTTTGAAGTTTATTATTTTCTTTTTGAGGGTGGGGGGTGTTTCGAATGCTTGGATTTATTGGGACTGCATTGAATTATTATTAATTTTCAATTGTGAGTAAGTTTCATTATTTTAAGGTGTAAACGAAGTTTATGGTATACTGGTGTGTGAAAGTTCATTTTATGAAAATTTCGCGGATTAAAGATGTATTCTGCCACATAAGAAGCATAGCTGATAACTTATCGACAGTTGATGCAACTTTAGAAGTATTAAGAAGTAAGAAGATCCTCTTGAAACCACTTTTAATCTTCATATCCAAGCATTTGATACATACGCTTAGCTCTGCTTCTTTAGCTCAGCGTGGACACATAATGTGGCTTTTATTTTAATCAAGTCATATTAAATTAGGATTATTTTCATTACATGTTTTTTATTTTTTCTTATTTATAATTTATAAAACTTGATTCTTTTTTATTGCGTTAACATATATTTATTTTTACACTTGAATTTGATTTTTTTCTTTTTTTATTGTATCCTAGTATTTATTTTTGTACGAATTTTTCAGTCTTTTAAATCACTTAGTAGACTTCAACTTATATATACAATAAATGAATGAATATTAAAATTAATTTGTAACTTATTTCTTTTTTTAATTAATACAATTCATAAACTTTTTAGGTAATGTATACAACTACTTTTAAAGGTACTAACAATATTTTGTTTTCACAGTGTTTGATATTTACTGAAGAAAGTTTATTGCATGACAATTAATTTCCTCGCTGTCTATTTAATTATATTAAATATTAAACCATAAGATATGTTACACATTCAGTATTTAACCTTGTTAATGGTATTTCGTCTATTTGATAACATACGAAACTACTTACTACATATCAGTGATCGATACGCTTGGTCGGTAAAGTAGTTTATAGATCTCTGAAGTCTGCAGGATCTAGATCTCAGTCGATACATGTACCTCACATCTTTATATCGATTACCGCATAAGTAGCCGATCGAGTTTGGTATACTACAAACCTATTACATATCATATTTATCACAAAAACTTCATAATTCTTTCTTGCAACTTATTTAACATACCAAAAAATTATTTTTATATCATTTTTTCTCAAGATTCGAACATCATATTTGTATAATAAGTTGCACTTAATAAAAAGACGCAATGATTGATATTAAAAAAATTAAAACAATGAACCAATGAAATGAAAAAATGAATACGTCCTTATAATTATGTGATTATTTCTTTTTCTAAGGTATCGAGAACAATTCCTGCTTCATTTTGTGCTCTTTCTATTTTCAGCAATATAATCACACATCATGGTCGCACAATCCTCCGCCTGTTGTTCCACTCGGACGAGGTGATATCGGAAAACCAAATACTACAGATGACGATTATAATATTTCACCACGATGGAAACCTTTTGTTACGAACAACGAAGGTAACCGCGGGATTTATCTCTTCTCGATTTCCTCTCTATACAGGACGAAAAATTCAGCCACACCACTTGTCGACAAGTTTAATTGAATAATATTTTAGTTCCATATACGGATATCCAGGATAACTCCTTTTTATGTACTTTTTATACACTAACGAAATGGAAGATTATCCTTGGAAAAGTTTATAGACAACGCGAATAAATACTTTCACCGATATACCAAAATTTAATTTTGTTTCTCTGAAAATTTCTATTCCATTTTCTTCGTCATTTTCTCGTGCAATCCGAAACTCAAATAAATTGAAGAATTAATTGTTTCTCGTACTTCCATTTATTTTCCTCGTTTCATTCTTATTTAATTTTCCACTTGTAAAATTTTCCAATTTATATAAGAATTAAACAATATGATTTTCTCGTACTTCCATTTATTTTTCTCGTTTCATTCTTATTTAATTTTCCACTTGTAAAATTTTTCTTTCCAATTTATATAAGAATTAAACAATATGGTGATATTTGATAAATTAGTTTTCAATTTAATTCGCAGATTCGGAGGAAGCAGACAGGCGGTACTTAAGTTCAAACGATGATCGATCCAGATACCCCGACGGTGATGACTTTGGTCAGAGAACCGATGACTTCGAATTTCAAAGCGGCTATGGTAATAAATTTAATCAAACAGTCCTCGACAAAAATTATAACCTTGATAAACAAGTGCGATATGGTTTATTTTTCTGAAAAATAAAATCGCGTTTTATCTCGTTCAGTAGCATTCTGGTACTGTGCAGACCAGCGTAAAGTTCCCTTGTAGTTACCAAGTTATCGAAGGCTCCTCTTATATCGCGGGCAAAATAAATTTCTTATCGAAATTTTTTGTTAGACGTGTTATGAAACGTGTTATGAAACATTCAAGGAATTTTAAAGGAAATTTATTTCACTCGTGGGTAATATGAATTTTGTGCATCATTTCGTCTGTCGAGGATTCCTCTTCAGGAGGTTCTGTCGTCGGTACTGCCTTCCCAACGTAACTAACATCAAAGAACCTGAAATTTAGTTTTTCCCTTTGTGTCGCCATTCATATTTTTTCTTTCATCTGTTTAAAAATTGAATTATTATTTCCTAGTAGCCCATGCAATTTCTTAAATAGGTTTTTCATGGAAATATTGTATTATTAAAATGGTAATTAGTTAAGTGACTAAAATAAAATGGGTATGATTGCTAAAAAAAGTAAATTGAAGTAGATATTATCTCAAAACTCATGTTACATAAATGTAAAAGCGTACTTTTCGAGTTTCGAGTATTTTAATAGTTAAAAGTAAAACTCATGCCATCATGCAATCGGTATTATAAAAGAACGGTGTATTTTCTGCATTATGATACGAGAAAAATTCACTAATTGTATCAAAATAACTCGAACGTGATAAGGTATTTTCTTTCTCTCTTAAAAAATTAATAAAATTGACAGAGTCCATTTCAGTCTTATACATTTCATACTATACCTAACTTAGTAAAAGATACATAGGACATTTTAAACTAATAGCATAACTTGAAATGCAGTTAGGATAAATGAATCGGGCTCTTCTCAGACCTCTACAAAGTCTTTAGAGCTGCCTAACTTTACTTAAAAGTTAAAAAGCGCGTAGAACTTCGAATACTTTAGCATGTCTCTTTCTCCAAAAACGAAGAATGCGAGAAAGGATATTTCGACTTAAGAAACCCAAGTATATCTCCATTTTAATGACAAAAATATGTAGGAAAGGAGATCGTAATATTTATCGATATTATAGTGTCGATAATTGAGACGAACAGTATAAATATATTCCATAAATCAAAATGAAAAATATCAGTTGGCAATATTTTTGTTAAGGACAAGCATCGTCCATCTTCCCAACCATTGTAATGGCTACACCGCAATATTCTGAAATTTACGAATTCAACTTGAGCCTGCTAATTAACGAGACCGTTTATCTTTTGTCTTTACAAGCGTGGTGTAATAGTTTCCTATTAATCGATAATGCCAGCGGTTATTGTGCGCGCGCAAGTTTATGGTGTTCCATAAAATTTAACGGGCTAATGGAAAATTGAATTTTGAAAAGGTATGAAACTCGGGTCGCCTGAGCTACGAACGGATTACTTTCATAAAAGAACGGAACAAGTGCTCTCGGTATCGTGGTTCGTTCTATCGAAAATTTATTAAATTTTCCACAATGAAACGGTAACGAGTAACGAGAATTTTATTTCAACGTTTCTTCTTTAACCCCGTATTTGCGATTCTTCGATTTTATGATGCTTTAACTTCGCGGATCCCTGTTTTACGATCCAGGGATTATCCTTCGTCATCGACGAAATTATTTATTCAAGTTTGCTCCTATTATCCATTCCCTTTGTTTCCAACTTCATTTCAATTTCGATTTGTTCTAATACGAGCACGATAGAATATTGATTAATTAGAATATAACTGTGGTTTAAAAGTAGCAGAAAATTTCTGAACAAATAATCGATTTTAATGATGAATTCTTTAACTTTACATTTTCAATTAATAGGCTAGAAAAATTCATAGTTTCACATAAATCAACCCCTTGCCTCACTAATTATTTTCAATTTTATGGCTTAAAATAAGGCAGTTCTTAAATTTCTGAACAAATAATCGATTTTAATGATGAATTCTTTAACTTTACATTTTCAATTAATAGACTAGAAAATTTATAGTTTCACATAAATTAACCCCTTGCCTCACTAATTATTTTCAATTTTATGGCTTAAAATAAGGCAGTTCGAAGTCGTGTGTCTGTTCTGAGTCATCATTATAATCATATTCACTTTCTAATAAATCAGTATCATCCTCGTCGTGGCACTTGTAGCTGCACTCAGGTATGCTTATTTCGAATGCACTTTCCTATGTGTCTAAATCACTGGCTATAATAAGACTAATAAACATAAATAATCGGAAGAACACGATCCAATTACCAACAGGTAAAAATCAGGCTATCCGATGCTACATAAATCTGTTTGCTTGTAGTAATTAGATGATTTACTCGAGACAGGTTCAAGTGAGCACGCCTTCAGCTAATTTGTAAAGCTTGCTCTTATTGGAAAGGTAAAATTATATTCTAACACGGAAATGAATAAATTTGTTATAACAATAATAACTTGGACATTATAGAAGGATCAAATCGTCTTAAAATTCCCATTAGGTTACTTCAGCTGTCAGCTTGAATATATTCGAGATATTGATTTATGTATTTGAGATAATAAGGTAAGCGGTTAACTCTTCGCAGATGGGACTATGTTTTTAATTAAAAATCTGTTTGAATGAAAAATAAAGGAACGATAGATCCGAAAATTCATTTTTTAATACTCTTATGTTCTTTTGCAAGAAAATATATTTTCAGACGTATGAAGTTTTCGCATGAATATAAAATATATCAAAAGGCAGCGAGAACTTTTAGTATCCCAATATCTCTTTACATCCTTTGCAACAATGTTTCTCCACAAGAGCACGGATTCGATCGAAATTCCAGCGATCGCACAATGCCATTATTTCCCAACCACTGTTCCAATTCATTCCAATCCAATTCCATCCTCCGCAGTATAGTTCATTTGTTCGATTTGTCTGCTGCGATATAAAGCAAGGATTAATCCACGCGTGCATAAAAATAGCGCGAATAGTTGGAATACTTCTTTAACATCTTGTTTTCCCTTTAATACAAAGACACGATTTCATCGAAATGTCAGAGATCACGCAGCACCGCTACTTCTCAACCCACCGTTCCAATTCATTCCAATCCATTTCTATCTTCCACAGCCTAGTTCACCTGTTTCGAGATAATCAGGCAAGAAGTTAACTCACACGTGTATAAAAATTTCACACAGCTTCCATCATTTCTGCGTTCCCTCAACACCCAAAGACGCGTCTCTTTCAAAATTCCAGCGATCGCACAATACCACTATTTCCCAGCCCATTTGCAACTGGCATTCCAATTCATTCCAATCCACTTCCACCCTCCATACCATAGTTCATCTGTTCGATTCATCTGCTACGAGTAATCTCCTTCTATCAGGTGGCCTGGAACAAGGATCCTACAACCAGGGACAAGGATCCTATAACCAGGGACAAGGATCCTACAACCAGGGACAAGGATCCTACAACCAGGGACAAGGATCTTACAACCAAGGACAAGGATCCTACAACCAGGGACAAGGACAAACCCCTCTGGATCCATACAATCAAGGAAGCGATCCTTACGGTGATAGATCTCGAGGATACGATGACCCTTATTACGGAAGAAGAGGTGAAGCTGACAGAGAACAAGGCCCCAAAGATCCTTATGGCGATACCTATGGAGAAAGCCATGGATCCAGAGACGATTACGACCGCACAGATCCTTACAGACGTGTCTACTCGCAAGGTCATCGAGGAGGAGGAGGAGGTTATGGCGCGGCTGGAGACTCGGACAATTATCCGAGCAGTTACACAGCTGTGCCAGTTCCAGGACACGTTAGAAGGCAAAACTGTACCGGTTCGGGCTGCTGCGTACCGAAATGTTTCGCTGAGAAAGGCTCCAGGGTAAGTATTTGTCCAAGCAATAATGCCGTTAATGGATCTCCATTGTTAGTCAAGGAACCATTATTTTAATCTTTAAACAGTCTTGCGTTCATCAAGTAGTTTCTTTTCGATCCTGCATCTCGACGATGATCGATCTAAGAAATGGTCGCGGTTTTGGATAACAGATTGCTCTCTTCGCGTTGCTGCAGAGTTTGATCGGTGTTTGTTGAGAGAAAATGAAGAGGGTTAGAAAATAATTAGATACTTGAGTAATAGATAACAGTTTTCAAATTAATCTTTTGTTCGCAATATATATATAGTGAAACTGTTTTTAATTTTAGATCAAAGCAACGTCATATAGATTTTCATCAAATTAACTACCGCAAATTTTGTTATAGTTCGGATTATAATCGCGGGTAACCGTCACGTTAACAAGGTTCAATTATAATAGTCGTGTTACATGTTGTTAGTTACTAACATATAACATAACATATTCCTTTGTCGTATTTATTTTTGAATAACAATAAACGAATTGAGGAAATAGAGTTTATAGTTTTTGGTTTTCACCATTGTTAAATCCTACTGTACTGAATTTATCTTGACTTTTGCATACAGGGTGCTCCAGGTATAATGGGACCACAAGGTCCAAAGGGCCAAAAGGGATTTCCAGGAACGGAAGGTCTTCTAGGGCCAAAAGGAGAGAAAGGTGATCCTGGTCCTCAGGGACCACGTGGATCAAAAGGTGACAGAGTATGTACATGTTTGCGAATCCAGTTAGGTTAATTTTAGATTCTACCGATTCTAATTATGCCGATTATCCTAGGGTAAAATGGGCGTGCCTGGATTCTCTGGTATAAATGGTGTTCCTGGAGTTCAAGGTTCGCCTGGTGCTCCTGGTCTTTCTGGTCGTGATGGTTGTAATGGAACAGACGTACGTGTACTGCTAATAACCACCGCTATTCATACACGTTATAATACATATCGCAATTTACATTAGAGATAATTACGGACTTTCCAAATTTACATTGATTTCTCCTTTCAGGGTGAACCTGGTGTCCGTGGTCGTCCTGGAGAGCCAGGTCCTCGTGGTTTCCGTGGTTCTCCGGGGCCCAAAGGAGACAAGGGTCAACCAGGATTCGCTGGTAGATTCCCTGTAGGCCAAAAGGGAGAACCGGGTATCGATGGCGTCAGAGGACCGCCAGGTCCACCCGGACCCCAAGGAGAACATGGGCTTTCAGGGCCAAAAGGTGAACGTGGCCTTGATGTAAGTAATCTTCCGTATTTATATACATGTATATTCCTCGTGCATTTAATCGTAACAGAACTAATAAGGTGTTGATTTTGAATATTAAACTGTTATTCAGGGTGTACCTGGTCTTCCGGGGCAAAAAGGAGAAAAAGGTAATATGGGACTCAAGTTCGAGGGTCCAAAAGGTGATAAAGGACAAAAGGGTGAGCTAGGTCCTCCTGGAACGTCTGGTCCCTTAATACCATTTGGTGTGATTGAAGAAGTAACGGGTAAACAAGGAGACCGTGGTGATAAGGTATTTCATAAGACAGCGAATATGTTTGATAAATTGAATGAATCGAACGATTTCATCGTTTATTTACATTTTGTTTTGTTTGTAATAATAGGGTGAAAGGGGACCGGATGGTATGAAAGGAGAACCAGGACCAATTGGCGATCATGGTATAAGTGGTAGTTCAGGTATGAAAGGAGAAAAAGGACTTCCAGGAGCACCAGGTGTTCGCGTAAGTTCACTTAGATTGATATAGTTCGATAATAGATTAAAAATATAGAGTAGTATAAATTAATTGGCCCATTCGATGTTTCTAGGGCAGGGATGGTTTCTCTGGTCCACCTGGTCCACCTGGACGTAAAGGTGACCGAGGTTATGATGGATTAGATGGTCTTCCTGGTCGTCCTGGACAGAAAGGAGAACCAGGTCGAGATGGGTCTATGGGAGTTTCAGGCTTACGAGGACCTCCTGGTCCACCAGGAGTGAGTACCATTTGTATTAATTAATTTTTCTTTTCATGAACTAAATATGCTCTTAGAATTGCAATATCTTGCAATACTCGGTTAGTTGATTAATAAATTAACATGTATTTCTAATTATGAACTACGTATTTAGGGTGGCAAAGGTACACCAGGACCACCAGGACCAAAAGGACCACAAGGTTTCCCAGGACCTACTGGACCTCGGGGTGCCGATGGATATCCAGGAGACCCAGGTCCGAAAGGTCCTATTGGTCTATCGGGAGGACCTGGTTCACAAGGTATCCCTGGTCCCGAAGGATTGCCAGGAGAAAAAGGAGGGAAAGGAGAGCCTGGCATCACTGGATTCCCGGGACCAACTGGCCCCCGTGGATTCGATGGTCCTCCAGGTCCATCAGGACCTCGGGGGACGCCAGGAGAGGCAGGCATATCAATTGTGGTAAGTATCAGCTCTGTAATTAACACAAAGATATAATCAAATTAAACGATCTTATAACATTTTCAAGATTATGAAATATATTTGTATGTAGGGACCTAAAGGAATGGATGGATCGCCAGGTTTTGATGGAGAAAAAGGGCAAAAGGGAGAACGTGGTTACGCAGGTTTTGGGCGTGCCTGGATTCTCTGGTATAAATGGTGTTCCTGGAGTTCAAGGTTCGCCTGGTGCTCCTGGTCTTTCTGGTCGTGATGGTTGTAATGGAACAGACGTACGTGTACTGCTAATAACCACCGCTATTCATACACGTTATAATACATATCGCAATTTACATTAGAGATAATTACGGACTTTCCAAATTTACATTGATTTCTCCTTTCAGGGTGAACCTGGTGTCCGTGGTCGTCCTGGAGAGCCAGGTCCTCGTGGTTTCCGTGGTTCTCCGGGGCCCAAAGGAGACAAGGGTCAACCAGGATTCGCTGGTAGATTCCCTGTAGGCCAAAAGGGAGAACCGGGTATCGATGGCGTCAGAGGACCGCCAGGTCCACCCGGACCCCAAGGAGAACATGGGCTTTCAGGGCCAAAAGGTGAACGTGGCCTTGATGTAAGTAATCTTCCGTATTTATATACATGTATATTCCTCGTGCATTTAATCGTAACAGAACTAATAAGGTGTTGATTTTGAATATTAAACTGTTATTCAGGGTGTACCTGGTCTTCCGGGGCAAAAAGGAGAAAAAGGTAATATGGGACTCAAGTTCGAGGGTCCAAAAGGTGATAAAGGACAAAAGGGTGAGCTAGGTCCTCCTGGAACGTCTGGTCCCTTAATACCATTTGGTGTGATTGAAGAAGTAACGGGTAAACAAGGAGACCGTGGTGATAAGGTATTTCATAAGACAGCGAATATGTTTGATAAATTGAATGAATCGAACGATTTCATCGTTTATTTACATTTTGTTTTGTTTGTAATAATAGGGTGAAAGGGGACCGGATGGTATGAAAGGAGAACCAGGACCAATTGGCGATCATGGTATAAGTGGTAGTTCAGGTATGAAAGGAGAAAAAGGACTTCCAGGAGCACCAGGTGTTCGCGTAAGTTCACTTAGATTGATATAGTTCGATAATAGATTAAAAATATAGAGTAGTATAAATTAATTGGCCCATTCGATGTTTCTAGGGCAGGGATGGTTTCTCTGGTCCACCTGGTCCACCTGGACGTAAAGGTGACCGAGGTTATGATGGATTAGATGGTCTTCCTGGTCGTCCTGGACAGAAAGGAGAACCAGGTCGAGATGGGTCTATGGGAGTTTCAGGCTTACGAGGACCTCCTGGTCCACCAGGAGTGAGTACCATTTGTATTAATTAATTTTTCTTTTCATGAACTAAATATGCTCTTAGAATTGCAATATCTTGCAATACTCGGTTAGTTGATTAATAAATTAACATGTATTTCTAATTATGAACTACGTATTTAGGGTGGCAAAGGTACACCAGGACCACCAGGACCAAAAGGACCACAAGGTTTCCCAGGACCTACTGGACCTCGGGGTGCCGATGGATATCCAGGAGACCCAGGTCCGAAAGGTCCTATTGGTCTATCGGGAGGACCTGGTTCACAAGGTATCCCTGGTCCCGAAGGATTGCCAGGAGAAAAAGGAGGGAAAGGAGAGCCTGGCATCACTGGATTCCCGGGACCAACTGGCCCCCGTGGATTCGATGGTCCTCCAGGTCCATCAGGACCTCGGGGGACGCCAGGAGAGGCAGGCATATCAATTGTGGTAAGTATCAGCTCTGTAATTAACACAAAGATATAATCAAATTAAACGATCTTATAACATTTTCAAGATTATGAAATATATTTGTATGTAGGGACCTAAAGGAATGGATGGATCGCCAGGTTTTGATGGAGAAAAAGGGCAAAAGGGAGAACGTGGTTACGCAGGTTCACGTGGTTTCCCTGGTGACTCTTTGGATGGTATTCCAGGAGCACCGGGTGAATCTGGCTTACCAGGTGAACCAGGAACTCCAGGAAAAGAAGGCACACCGGGATATCCAGGAGCACCTGGTGAGAAAGGAGACATAGGAGGTCGTTGTCAAGACTGCTTGCCAGGAGCACATGGAGCAAAAGGAGATCGTGGTTTGGACGGCGCACCTGGACTTCTTGGTCCTCGAGGTCCCCCTGGAGAACGAGGGTTACTTGGAGAACCTGGTTCAGACGGACTACCCGGGCCAATAGGACCACCAGGACCACCGGTATCTTGAACAATTGTGACTTTGACATTTCGAATTTTCGAGTTTCTTGAAACTAAGTTATTTATTAATATGTATTTTCTTTTCCTTCTTTTTCTTTTCTTTTTCTAATTTCACAGTGGAGATCTATGAAAAATCTCTTTTAAATTCCACTTCTTCGATTAACAGGGGAAAGATGGTATTCCCGGTGCATCTGGCCCCCAAGGAGAACCTGGTACCCCTGCGACAGTTTCATTAAGTATGATTCATTTGGAGAAAGGGGAGAAAGGTTTAAGAGGAGAAACAGGAAGACCTGGTCCGCCAGGGCCACTAGGTCCTCCTGGAGAGAAAGGTTCGCTTGGATTTGAAGGCTTCCCGGGACCAAAGGGTACTGCTGTAAGTTATAATTTCTGATACTCATTTATCCTATAGGTTCTGTTGTAAGTTCAATTTCGAAAGTTTCAATTTCATTTTTATCGTTTTTAGGGAGATCGTGGATTCCCTGGACAAGATGGAACACCTGGAAGGCCAGGTATTCCAGGCAAAAAGGGAGATAGTGGCCTCAGTGTGAAAGGAGAACGTGGAGAACCAGGTTATCCAGGTCAACATGGTCAGAAGGGTGAACCTGGTTCCTATGGACTGAAGGGAGAACCCGGTGAATATTTATTGCCCAGAATTTGTGTACTGTTCGAGTACCAAATCGTGTCAATGTCGAATACGTAGTTTTATTATTTATGTTTTAAATAGGTCAGTGCCCACCATTCCAATTATGTGATGGTCAAAAAGGTGATAGGGGTGCTCCTGGTGAAAAAGGAGAGCCTGGACCACCAGGAAGAGAAGGCTTAAGCGGTGACAAAGGTTTACAAGGTTTTTCGGTAAATATATAAAATATACCTACCTTTTGATATATGCGAGTTAATTACAACTTCGATATGTAATATTTACGTTACAATAAAATGAACCTAGGGACCACCTGGACCAATGGGACCAATTGGTGCACCTGGGCCAGTTGGACCAAGAGGATTGCCGGGTCCTCGTGGTGAGAAGGGCAATATGGGACCGATGGGTTTCCCTGGAGATCCTGGTCGTGAAGGACCCAGAGGATACCCAGGCGCTTCTGCATTGAAAGGAGAAAAGGGTGAAACTGGAATAACAGTCAAGGGTAGTCCTGGATTGCCAGGCCCACCAGGAGAGAAAGGGGAAAAAGGTCTTCCTGGACCACCAGGAAAAGATGGTCCTATTGGCTACCCCGGTTTGCCAGGGTTTATTGGAGATAAGGGTGATGTTGGTATACCAGGAATAAGTGGATTACCTGGTGCACCAGGAGAAAAGGGAGACACTGGAATAATTGGACCTCCAGGTCCACCTGGTGTTGCAGGACTTCCTGGTACAGATGGAATTAAGGGTACGTAGTTATTAAATGCTAGTACTTATAATTTACGTGCCTCTCGTTAATTATTCGCCTGAAATTTAAATTAATATGAAACACGATTGTTTCTGTTGGACAGGTGAACCGGGATTGTCAGGATCTCCTGGCAGAGCCGGTCTTCCAGGATTCCCAGGCACCAAGGGTGATCGTGGTGAACCGGGTATCGATGGACCGAAAGGTTATCCAGGAAGACGAGGTTTACCTGGTTCACCGGGTAGACCTGGTGCAGCAGGTGTACCTGGTATGAAAGGAGAACGGGGTGAAAAAGGCTCCGCTGGCTTCCCTGGATTACCTGGGATGGAAGGCAAACCCGGTCGCGCTGGAGCACCAGGACCAAAAGGTGACATAGGTCCAGTTGGTCCTGTTGGTCTCCCCGGTTTCATCGGATATGAAGGAGCGAAAGGTGAACGAGGTCTACCTGGATTACCAGTAAGTATTTTATATTTTCTATGGATTGATTTTTAGCAATCATGTGACATTTATGAAATTACTGATCTTGCATTATATTTCGTACAATGACAACTCAAAGAAGATAGCGACTATAAATTCACTAGAACCATTTACAAACATTAGGGAGCCAAAGGAGTACCAGGTCAAGTGTCTGAGAAAGGACAGAAGGGTGAGCCTGGAATGCCAGGAATTCGTGGTCCGCATGGCCCTCCTGGTAGAGATGGTGTTGATGGCGCCAAAGGAGAACCTGGGTTACGTGGTATTGGTTTAGACGGAATGCCCGGTCAAAAGGGAGAACCTGGCTTGCCAGGTCGTAACGGTTTCCCAGGACTTCAGGGTCTGAAAGGTGATGCAGGAGTAAGAGGTTTCCCTGGTTTGAAAGGAGATGTGGTATGTTTCATTCGTTACTGAAGTTACAGATCTTTCAGAACAAGTTTCATATTTTTTAGAAGCAATTTAATTTATGTATTAACATTCCTAAATTATTAGGGGTTACCTGGCGCACCAGGTGAACCTGGAACACCTGGTATTGATGGATTACCAGGTGAACGAGGTGATACTGGTCCACCTGGTCCTATTGGCTTCCCTGGTATAGACGGTGAAATGGGAGCTCCAGGACGTCCAGGACTTAACGGTGCCAAAGGAGACCGCGGTATTACAGGTAAGAGGTCAAATCTCGCTCTCATCTATGCAATTATACTAGCTAACAGACTTGAATTACATGATTCACGATGTAATCGTTTCTTAAGGTCCTGTTGGTCTTCCTGGAATTCCTGGCCAAATTGGTGAAAAGGGTGACCGTGGCTTACCTGGACCAACAATTTCAGTCAAAGGAGAAAAGGGTGAACCAGGTATTTCTGGATTACCAGGTGTACCCGGAGAGAAAGGAGATCGTGGATTAGATGGTCTTGTTGGTTATGTGGGCGCAAAGGGAGACAGAGGTATACCGGGTCCAGTTGGAGCTCCAGGGCCGCATGGTCTACCTGGACTTAAAGGTACACACTTTAATTTTCAAGTTACATTTTCATTTTCAGTTCCCTTTTTCTTTCGTATCTCGTCCTTTGAAGCATCGATCAAGCTTTTCTAAACTTCTATCAACTGCTAGATTATAGTTCTTGAAAATACTATAAATTTTTATACTATTTATCGTTTGGTGATTGACATCTATGCGAAATGTGCCATTTTAGGTGATAGTGGACCACAGGGACGTTCAGGATTACCTGGAATAACCGTTAAGGGTGAGAAAGGTTTACCAGGCTTATCTGGAAAGCGTGGACGAGATGGACTACCAGGTCGACCAGGAGAAAAGGGAGAACAAGGTTTGCCTGGTCTACCTGGACCGAAGGGAGATATTGGACCTTATGGTCAGGTAGGGCCACAGGGTGAGAAGGGTGATATGGGACTTATGGGTCCTCCTGGTTTGCCTGGCCGCGATGGATCACCAGGGCCTCAAGGACTTCCAGGTTTACTAGGTGAAAGAGGCGAAAAGGGAGATGCTGGATTACCAGGAGTGCCTGGTCCTGTAGGACAAAAAGGAGAACTAGGATTTCCAGGTAAATGTTCGACTTCAAATTATTAATAAGAAAACAATAACGCATTGAATTTAATAGTCAATATCGAATGAAATAACATTGACATAAATTTATCACGTTCATCAATCCTGTTTTGTGGTCAATCATTGTATCCAATTATGAGCAGTTGTATTGACACTATTCAAAACTCAAACTGAAATGACTTGGTACACGAATTATTCAAAACATGAAGAACAACTATGAAAACATTGATTTTGTTGAAATTACAGGACCGAGTGGAGTAGATGGTCTCCCTGGTGTAAAGGGTGACAGAGGTTGGGACGGTGTGAATGGCTTGCCTGGTCCACCTGGAGAGAAGGGTGACAGAGGTTACCAGGGTATACCGGGATCGGTAGGCGTTGTTGGATTCGAAGGCGAGAAGGGTGACAAGGGTGCTGACTGCATCGAGCCACCAATGGGACCGAAAGGAGATCGAGGTTTCCCTGGTATGATTTCTGGATTATATTAAAAAAAGAACTTTAAGAACTTATAGATCATTTACCTAAGTGTAATTTGAAATAACCATTTCGTATATTTATTTCTCCGAATACTTGCTTATGTTATAGGACCAACTGGCTTGCCAGGAGTGCCAGGCGAGAAAGGATTTGCAGGTCAGCCAGGACTCCCAGGAGTAAATGGACAAAAAGGTTCACCAGGACCTGTAGGACCACCAGGTCCAGTTGGTTTGCCGGGAATAGCAGGGCCTGTCGGTTCACCTGGTTTGCCAGGTCTCCAAGGTCCTGTTGGTCTTCCTGGTGTCCCAGGAGAACCAGGGAAACCGTGCGAAACATCACCAGATTATCTTACCGGTATCTTGTTGGTGAAACACAGTCAAAGCCAATCGGTGCCTACTTGCGAAGCTGGACATATCAAACTCTGGGATGGATACAGTTTACTCTATACGGATGGCGATGAAAGAGCGCATTCGCAAGATTTAGGCAAGTACTAATCCCGTTTTTGCACAGACCATCAAAGTTCATTGTCTACCTTTTGTCATCCTTTTCATCACACTTACATCCGCCTGTGCTAGCTCGTCACAGATGAACCTCCTATCTAACATCCGTTTACTGTTCGCTGATCCTGTTCAATGACTAATGAATAATCACGAAACAGGTTATGCTGGCTCCTGCGTACGAAAGTTCTCGACGATGCCGTTCCTCTTCTGCGACGTGAACAACGTCTGTCATTACGCCAGCCGCAACGATCGTTCTTACTGGCTGTCGACTAATAGCCCAATTCCCATGATGCCTGTCGAGGAGACAGTCATAGAGGAGTACATCTCCAGGTACGTTGATCGTTATCATTTGAAAAGAAGGACCATCCAGCTAAACCGAATAGCCAACGACCTTTCCTTCGAATGAGCAGCTTTTTGCGGATTTCTCGTTGCGTAACTAGCGATGGCTTCTCGACGATCGATGATCGAATGAGTACTCTTGATCGCAAGTACGTTCCTTTGCAATTTGTTGGGTCAGAAGGGGTTCTATCGAATTAGCGAGATAAGATGGAGGACACTGTATGGATCTCCATTAATTTGCTTCCATTCTATTTTATTTACTTGGGTTCGTATTTTTTTGGTTTATTTTAATTTTTTCTTTTTTTTTTTTATTTCGATTTTCTTCTTGTTGCTTCAATTTGCTCCGACTTTTTGTGATTTATTTCGGTTACCTTCAATTTTTTTCTATCTTCATGAATTATTTAGATTTGCTTCGACTTTCTTTATTTTTCTCCCATTTTCTTTCATCTTCCTCGATTTTTTTCGTTTTACTTGAATTTTCTTCGATCCTCCTGGATTTTCTTCAATTTTTTTACGTTCTTCCCAATTTTCTTTAATTCTTTTTCATTTTATACGACGGTTTTCAATTTTTTGGGGGATTTTTAAATTTTCCTCGATCTTCGTTGAGTTTCTTCGACCTTTTTCGATCTGCTTCGACTGGATTCGATTCTCTTCGGCTTCCTTCAAAATATATTCGTGTCTTTTACACGATAGATCGCTTAGAGAATAAGACGCTGCTCGCGACGAAGTGACATGTCATTTGTATGAACATCGATTTCAGGCTATCGTTTTGAGCGAGATTTCTCTGTGCTCGAAATGTTCGCGATCAAGCCGGTGATTGATATTGATACACACGGATACTCGGTGACTTTTGAAGGATTTATTGTATTTTGCTTGACTCTCAGTTTTCAGCGTGATTTACGGCTACTAGATGGCAGTATCGTTACAAGAATTAATATTCGGTTATTCATTCTTTTCCAATCTTTTTTTTTTTTTTTATCAATGTCGATCAAAATATTAGTTACTACCGAACTGGACGGGATAGTTGTGCAAAAAAAGAAATTAAATTTCACTGAGAAATTTTACAGCCATATTTTAATTTAATGACAGTACTTCCAATATTTTAAATATAAATTAAGATATTATATTTATCTATAACTATAAAGATATGAATTAAAAAACTCCACAACTTCTAAATTCAAGATTATACAACATACATAAGAGGAAGAATAAAATAAAATATATAAATATGTTACATTTCGAACATATAATTGTAAATGCAAGACTATTCTAAATATTTAATATGATTCTAAATTTCTATCAAAAGATTTATCTGCCTATCTATTATTAGCATATATTTTTCAATTGATTTTTAATATAGCATTTCTTATATTACCATTCATGAAACGACGTAAATTATGATATATTGAGGAACGAAGAATGTTAATTTTAGTAATTAGCGGAAATTTGTTACGCAGATGTCGAATATTTGCTACGAATAATTAACGAGGAAGTTAATAATTTTTCGCAAAGCATTCCATGTTGGTAATATACGTGATATCGTATATTACGTAATATCGTTAATGCCATATTTGATTCGCTAATTACACTTAATAATCGCATACCTAAAAAATACGTGGAACCAAGCATGTTCGAATCTCTGCACATCCACTCGCGTTAAAAATGGCGAAACGTGGATTCCGCTGCGAAACAAACATCCACGATACTTCTACAAACTGATCTCAAATGCTAAATAACGAATCCCGTTTTCAATAATCACCGTGCTGACTAGTAAATTGCGTAACAAACATGCGCGTCGGAAGTGTATACGAGTATGCGGAATTTATTAATTTATGATCCCGATTTACCGTTTCATACAGTCCGTCATAATATGCAATTTACAATACACGGAAGATCGTTGGAGTATAAATACTCCGCATATTTAATGTAACGACACGCGCAAGAAATGCAATGCAGATGGAACATTCGGAATCGACCCGATTAATCGCGAATATGTAATCAATAAATTGCAACATTACGCTCACCTTCGAATCATTTATATTATTTCATCTTGAATGGCGAACGATATCTTCCGTTTATTTCCACGTTTAATCAAGGTATTATTATTCGATTTAATATCGCAACGATCGTCGTGTCGAGCTAAGCAAAATGAAATTTTATTCCGCTTGCAAATTAGTTGCAATTTTGATGCAAACAGTGACATTTCATTTGTACAAAGTTACAAACGTATCCACGGAGTTGAATGCAAAGAGCATAGGCAAAATGAAATAATTGTTAATTTAGAGCGTACTTGTTAATAATTTAACGCGCAGTCCGAGTAACAGTTGTTTTAAACAGGTAGCAAATAATGCACGCGAATTTGATACACCTACCGTTTCGAAATTATGAAAAATACTAGAGTAAATCAACATGATTTAAATCGTATTTATCGGGCGCATGTAATGTTATTATTAGAATTAACAAATATGTTTTCTCCTTTTTCAGATGCGTGGTATGCGAGGTTCCAGCGAATGTGTTGGCCGTACACAGCCAGTCATTGACAATTCCAGATTGCCCATATGGATGGTCCGGTCTTTGGATCGGATACAGCTTCATCATGGTTCGAAAATTGATCTATATTTTTAAATACATGTATCACTGGCCTAAAGTTTGAGTATTCGAATTGATATATAGAGCATTTTTAATTTCTTTTTTCTTATATGTATAGACACAGAGAATTACAAACTCGAATGATTATACTTGGAAAATCTTCTTTGAAAACATTATTGGAATATCTTTGATTCCTTTTCTAGCAATGTAATTTAAATATTCTATTATTTATTTCTTCCTCTTTATCTGAAGGAAGTCGTAGATGTAATTGTGTAACGATTATAAAGAGAAATATTAGAGCTTCCAATTTTGATTTAAGCGTGGAGTACGAACGTAATAGGTATATCCAAACTTTTGGCCACTAACGTGTACCTTCCATCCAAAACGAACCCTTTGAAAATTTTCTCACAGTCACAGTGTTTGCAAAAGTATATCTTGACGATGAAATTTCTCGTCTCCGTCTAACGAGAACGAACGAATTTCTCTGCACGATAACTTCCAATACCTCGTTAGCATCCGTTTAAAAGTCCTCTCATGAAAATGCGTTTCAATGAAGATAATTCAGCCTTCCATCTACCAATAACGGACAAATCTCATCGATAATCTTTAATATCACAGTGGCAATTTTCTAAAAACCTCCGTCCTCGCATTTTCACGAAAATCCGTACCAATAATAACAATTCATCCCTCCATCTACCAAGATCGAAGAAATCTCATTGCCCGATAACTTCGACGTCTCAGTGGCAATTTTCTAAAAGTCTCCTCATCCGAACCATTCGTCTGCAGTATTCCAACCTGCTTCTTTATATTTCTCGCGCGTTAAATCCCTGCTGCCGAAGTTCCACGGTAAACATCGCGTTTAACCCGACGTATTTCCTGCACGCCTCGACGAGCCGCGCGTTCACACTCTTAAACACGCTTCTCCACCCGTTCACCTGAAACTTTTCGGGACGCTCGCGAGCTCCGCTACTCCGCTTCCCCTTTTCCAATTCAAACTTTCACCGTTCTACATCGATAAACACAGCCGAAGATGCGGAGAAGGAGGTTGGTCCGAGCTCTCTGTTTGATTTGCAGCACACCGGTGCTGGTTCTCAGGGCGGAGGACAATCTCTGTCCAGCCCTGGATCCTGTCTAGAGGACTTCCGTGCGACGCCGTTCATCGAGTGCAACGGCGCCAAAGGTCACTGCCATTATTACGCGAACGAGTTCAGCTTTTGGATGGCCACCATCGAGGATAGGCAGCAGTTCCAAAGGCCCGAAAAGGAGACCCTGAAGGCAGGCACCCTCAGGTCCCGAATAAGTCGCTGCCAAGTGTGTATAAAGAACACGTAAAAAATACGTAAAAGCACGTAAATCCACGTAAAATTCTCGCGATTATTCCCGATGAATCCTCTCCTCTGTTCCTCGCGTCTCTGCTACCCTCCCGACCCCTCCTCGTCCTTGTTTCCGATTTAACTGTTTGAACCACGCCGATCACCTTGCATCGTCGAGCAGAACGTCGAAGGACGGAGTGATGGCTGGAAGGAAAGGTCGAATGACGATTTTCCGATGAGAATCTTCGCGACGAAGTCGAAACGAAGGGAGCCGAGGAAGCTTTTCTTCGTCGTGCTGACTTCTCGACCTCTGCCGCGAATATCTTGTCCCGAAATGTTATTTTAATCTTCCTTTCCCCTCGATTCTCTCTCTTGCTCTCTTATTCCCTTATACCCGGTACAATTCTCCCCTCGCTTCCCCTTGTCCCTGTTGCGTCTTTGCCGTTTCACCTTTCTCATTTCTCTCGCCGAGAATTTCGTTTTACACTCGTTTTTACTTACCCGCCTTTAAATCTCCCGCGCATCGCTTCCCCCACCACCACCACGGATTCGTGTACGCCGTAAGTTTTATTACAATAACTATTCAAACAAGTGCCTAGCGTACTATTTTCTAGCATGTAAAATAATATATATATATATGAAAGTTTATTATAAATATTATATGTATATTTATATCTCGTAAATCTTGTATGAAAAGTAAGTTTATCGTACTACCACGGACACTGCCCATATCCAATATGGCACACTTTACATATTGTATATTAATATAAACGAACTTAGCCTGGTAATTGTGTCAAGCCAAATATTTAAGTGAATAGGTATTTTGCTACTGTAGCTAATAAAATTCTATTTTCAAACTTCACTCGTTTTATATGTCTCTTCCGACGATCTCCATATTTATCGATGGAAATACTATTAAATAGAATACTTTGTAGGTTAATACTGTTTTTCTAGTGATGTCAGTGGTGTGCAAAGTGTTTAAATTTGAAGTTTCTCGTCTTATCTAATTCAACTCTTATTATAACATCGACCAGACGAAAAGTATGTATCCTGGAGAATCTGGACGAATAAAATGGTATATTTTCGTTTCAACGGGAATAAAACATGTTTAGCCGAGCTGTATAAATTACGAAGTATTAAAACAGATTTCAGTATTTCCCGTGTAATAATTAACAACTGTATAGGTTCGTATAATTTGAAAAAACTTACAAGTAAAATAAATTCCAGTTAATGGTTGCGTTTTGCAGAGTTGATTGGCTAAAACGAAAAGTACCATGAATTGTTTTTTCCTTCTTTTCCATCTTTCTTTTTTTTCCGGGCTGTTTCGCTAAAAACGCAATCGCAGATGAACAAATCGCTCGGAAAGCGATTTGCATAGAGTTTTGTGTTTGCCTGGTTCTTTTGCTGCTGCCTGACTCGACAATACAGTTAAACGTGCATCAACAAGAATAATGAGAATCAACGTCCTCCGATTATCCTGCATTTTCGTTCGTTATCACTCTGACCGACGGAAAAACTTTTTTACGATGTTTTGGTGTTCCACGTTGAACCTTCATGAGTGTCAAATTTTTGTAACTGCCAGCTCGTGAGAGACAAAAGTTACTATTAGTTGATCGTTATTATTTCAATTTTTATTATCGGATATTAGATATCTGAAAGTTAATAATAGTTGGAAAAAAATTGTTTGGAAAGGTAAGTAAACATAAATAAATAGAGTAGGATTTAAAAAATATATATGTGCTGGCATATGAGTGTGTAAGTCTGAAGTCACGTGGCATCGTAGAGGGTTAATATCCGCAGATTTATGGTGGAGATTCGTAGTTTTGTAAATAGACCTGAGGACAGTTTGTTTCCAAAGAAAAGACAACGACGGACTAAGCCTGGAACAGCTGTGCCCAGTAGAGAAATAATAAGCACTCACGTGTGGAATTCGTGGAGGGATTGATGGGACACGAGTTTTGTAGGTCACATTCTCCAATGACCAAGATTATGAAATAAAAGTGGTAAATTATAAAATAATGCATCCTTTTAGAACGATATTATATAAAACACATAAGTGTTCATACTTTTAGCACTTTCATTGCGTTATATTCACCTAATTAAATGTTCATAAATAATTTCATCTATTTTAAAAAATAAAAATTCTTGTTATATACGTCTGTTTAAAAAATAATAAATTTTATAGTATATATAAAAGCATAAATGTACATATACAAAATGATAAAGAAATTCATCTTACATTACGCGAACATCTTTTATTTCCATATATTACGAAATAATTAAAAAAAGCCTGAAAAATTCCCTCAAATTATAAAAAAATAGTTAAACAATTACCTATCTCACATAAATACCTATCTAAATTCTCTCACGCCCAATCGACAACAATCAAATTGCATACCTGGCCACACCTATATAATTATATCAAAAATCTCCTTTCTCGCGTTCGAAAAAATATCTACGCAAATTCAACGAAGCGAAAAGGAAAACAGGCAAAAATGGCAGGATACACAATTTCAGCAAACTCACATCGGATAAACAACACGATTTCGCCTTGAACAAAACCTGCTTCGATGCAAGAACAATTGGCCACTGGTCCTACTGGTTAAAATGCAAATACGATTCATGGCGGACAAACATAGGCGAGTTTACCTATACCAGCCTAAGACACGTGTGACACTCGTGCCTATTCCATTTTCGAGATCGGCCTCGGATCTATTAGCATATGTTTTCTTTTTCGCAACCAGCCTCTCACCTAGGATATCGGGATCCAGACTCGAGTTTTCCCAACCGTCGGGACACGTCGTCCCTATTCGTGTCTCCTTTATTTCCCCTATTTTTTCCCTCATTTTTTCTCTCCCTTTTCCTCTCCTCTTTTCCCCAAGCGATAGACACCACTTCAGGTACAGGTGTCGCGAGTAAATCGCCTTCCCTCGCGCCACATCGCGCTATTCTCGTCGATTTTCATTGAACCGTGATTACACTAGGCTTATAAACCGCGATCGGTGTGAATTGTAATAGATGTTCCGTTTCGCTGGGATAACAGGCACGCGTGCCATGTTCGCGTCGTGCATGCTACGGGAAGAATCGTGTGCTCTTGATTGCCTCGTCGATTGTCGGCACCGATTCGAGATAGCATGTTTAATTCATCGCACCGAACTTTCCGGCTAAATAAGTATATTTCCCTTTCGTATCGCGCAAGCTTTTGGTAGCAGAAAATTTCTTCTGGACACGAGGTAACTATCAAGGAGAGAAAATATTGTGGAGAATATTGCGGAATTGGTTTTATGATGAAGATATGGTATTGAATTTTTATAATGTATCGTAATGTGCGTTTAATATTTGATGCTTCCAAACTTGAAGCTGAAAGTTTTTAACGTTCGAAACACGATTTGCTAATTTTGGTTTGGACGTGGAATATTTTGTTTTAACTAGGGGTGGGTTTGGAATTAATTTTCGAATTCTCGTAATTGGGAGCTGAAGCTGTGTAAAATTCGAAACTGAAACTATTGATCTGGGAAATATTAGATAATTATATTAGTTACATAAAGTAATTCGTATAAATAAATTTTCTTTTATGACTGAAAGTTAAATATGCTCACGGACTTTTGTATCTATGTTTCATCGATCGAACAAGTTTAATGACATCTGCATTCATCAATGCACTCAAGTGGTCGAAACGGATTACCAATTCAAATAACTAGTTTGCCATCCTCAAAAAACCGTGAAACTGGGTCATTTTTAGTTTGTTCAGGCTCTGTGTATATTCCTGAAAATTTTCAACCCCAGGTGAGATTTAATCAGACGGATACATCAAATGTATAAAGTAAACGATGACATCTATACAGTTTACATTTCATTTAAGATTCCGAGACCTAAAGTTCAGTCAACCTTCGAATTATTTTTCCTTTGCCTCTATAATTAAGGAACTTTTATAAGATGATGATAACGAATACTTTATTTTTTCGTTATTTTATTCCGTATTATTTTCAAATTTCTGGTTATTGCGTTAGAATATCGAAAACTTTCGTTCCTAGGAGGTAATATTATCTTTCATTTAGAATCTTAATTACCTGCTAAAGTAGGTTAATGAATAATAAATATCTCCTATTTCTTCGTCCTATTTTATGGGAAACTTTAAGCGAAATTAAATTTAATTCAAATTTCTAAATTTGGGACTAGCTCAAACATTAATTGCCGGGTTTAACAAATTTTCAAATTTCCGAATTTAATAAAATTCCAAGTTTTCAAATGAAGAAAATATGTATTTCCGATGTTACACTAGAAAACGTTAATTTATCAGAGAAATGTGGAAACTACGGCATCGTTCTGAATGCATTAATTGTAATAGGTCTTGTATAAATCATTCCGGAAATGAAAAGAAAATATCACGAAGAACGAGTAAATAATAAGCAAATGAATTTGTGGGGAATTAAAGTAAAAGAAACTAAGACATTATGCAAGATTCTGAAACGTAATATCCTCCTTCTTCGTGGCATATTTACGCATCTTACTCCGTGATTGAACACATTTTATCAGGTCTATTACCATATCTTTGCATTCATTAACAAACTTCTTGAATTATTTACTAGCGACAAAATAGCTATTGACGCAGGACGAAAGCGCAAAAGATACGGGAGCGTGTACTTCCACGGTGGGAATAAATTACGTTATTTCGTAAAAGTGTACGAGAAACGTTCGTGCCGGAGAGCGCGTTGGAGAATTCCGGTGAGGCTCGTACATTTGTCATAGTTGGAGAAGACGAGCCTCCAAAGGATAGAGGCCTTGATTCGATACACGTGCTATCACTTCGAAGTCGATTCGACATAAAATGCGCTGAACTCTTTCAGACGGGTTCCAAAGAAAATTTCGATTCGCTTCTTTATCGTTATGATAATCGACAAGTCATATTCCAATATTTCGATGTAGAATACGGATATATGTATTTTATTGTTTTATCGTTAATAATATAATTAAATGATACGACATAAAATGTACAGAACCTCTGCAGGCGTGTTCAAAGGAAAATTACGATTTGATTGTTTATTATTATTATTGTCGTTGAGAATTAATAGGTTATCATCCAACCATTTGATATAGCGATAAAATTGACGATGATTCGATAAAACATAGTGATTTCTGAAAGTTCCAGGTATCTTCCAAATTTTCAAGGCTTCCGTGTCACTAAACTGTGAAACTCTGGACGTCAGAAAATACGAATTTTAATCTTGATACAATATCCAGCTGCTGAGGAAGTTTTTGGTTGAGAGAAAACTGGAAACACGACATTCTTTCTAAACTCTATTTTGAAAGGAATCATATAGAAAACTTTTGCCACTTATCGTTGTAATTTACGATTAGAAATATTATTTCACGATGGGAGTTCCAAAATAAAAAAGGAAATTAAATGAGAATAACCTTGCATAAATATGAAATTAATCTTGCATAAATATGAAATATTTTAAGAAATACGGATTTTCAATTCGTTTGAATCAATTTTGGATTAAATAATTTTAAATCAAACAAGATTCATGCCAATAAGTGTATTTCTTTGCAAAAACATTTTTATATGAATAAATTTATTGCGAGACTGAAACTTTTGCAATTCTATACCCAAGTTATATATTCTATTTTTACAGTTTTTTTATACAAATACCTTCCGACTTCGTTACTGGAGATATCAAATTTTCTATTTAATCTTCCTAAAATTACAATATATGAAACATTTCAACATAGTCGTAACTTTGTATAAAATGTCAATATTATTGAAACATCGATATTTGAAGTAAAATATTGAAAATCAAATCTCCATAAAAAACACGATTTTAATATAAAACTCGTATATAAATAGTAAAATTATACAACATATAAAATTTTTCGTATTTCAATTATATATGATTGATTCTTATTATGTCAAAATCCAATTATTTTGTTTCATATTTAAATACTACTTTATTACGCAAGAAACCTTAACCTCGTTTAAACTCGTAAATATTTTAATTAATTTATCTACGATACAATTTTCAATATCCCCATTATATACTCACTGCACCAATCTATCAAAAATTAATATAAGGTGTATTTAATTCTGAAGGATTAAAACAAAGTTAAGCAGCACAAATTGGACAAGTAGGTGAATAATATTTTAACCCATTAAAACGTAAAATTCACTTAAACGGTGAAAAGGGGTCCATTACTATTAATCCATATCTATGTATTTAGTTTCATTCACGTAACAATTATAATCGCAAAAAAGGCAAAATAAAAAAATATAACGAACGAACATAATGAAGGAGGAACATTACCAAAAACCAATCTTTTTTATAATACACACACCTACTTACAAAACTGAATTCCTTTCGGTCATGTACACACACGAGTTAGGAAAAATAAATATAACAAAGTAAAATTGCAATAAACTTCAATCGAACCAATCTCTTCCTCTTCAAATATTGTCATTCATATTCATAAAATAAAACATCGATTTGCATCATTGCATAATCGCAAAGAATAGAATACAAAGTAAACCAAATATATTATTCGCTAGAACGTTGTTTTGATCGACAAGAAGATCACGATAGGAGTAAATGATCGGAATTAATTGATCTACGTAAACAAAGAAATTTATTCGTTTTGAATAAACTATGAAAGAAGGTGTGGAGCCTAATCGACCAATCCAACCGGTTCGTTCGGCCTCTAGCCTCCAGCCTTCCTCTGTTTTCATGCCAATTACCATTCGTTCCCAGTTTCCTTCAGATATATGCAAGTTTATTCCGCAAATCATTTTCCGTCGGACTTGTTTTCAAAACATCTATGTGGAACGTGCTGGAAATGGTCGTTTCGAAATTAAAATTTCAGATCGCTGTCGATGAAAAATTTCCGTGAAATTGAATGTTAGAGCCGCAACAGGCGAGGAGAGATGAGTTACCTGTTGGAAAAATAACGGTACGTGATTAAAATCAAATACTCCTTTCGCAAATACAAGGCTATATTCTTCCATCGAGTTTACTATTCTTTGAAGGCCCTTTGAGGTTATTCAAATAGGAATGATTTTTTAAATCCCCCCCAGTTTTACCTATTTTACAATATTTCCATATTTTCAAACTATTTTTCACGAAGAATGATATATTTCTTCTTTCTCAATTTAGAAATACAGATATATTATTAAAGGACATAAATAAAAATGATTACAATTATTTAAAAAAACGAGGAATTTAATTAGGAATTTAAATATACCATAATTCATAATTCGCCCTAAATCAAATATCGCGCTATTTGTACTCGCATTAACCGAGATTCACCCATAATTCAACGTCTAACCAATACTGAATATTCATTCTTCACCGACGTAAACGTCAGTTGACTCGAAAATCCCAGGAACAACAATTCCAATTTACCTATCCGACATTACAAAACCACAAATCCAAACTCGGAATAATAGCCTCTAAATGGAAGCAAAATCTTCGACTAGAAAAATGAGGAAGAACTGACGAAATCAAAGTTCCTACCTCATCTCGTTTCACAAGATTATTAGCATCGAACGAGGTACTCGTTTCTGTGGAAATCTACGCAAGCAGAGAATCCATTGAAATTAATTATGGAAGAAGGTGTGGAATCTAGCAGACCAATCCGACAGGTTCGTTCGTTCCCCGGCCTACAGTGGAGCATTTCGATTATTGGCAGATCCGAGAACCGATCTCGTCTCAGTGATGGAACACCGTTTGCCCAAGGATTATCGTACTCTGATCTTTCGATCTCTGCGCGATAAGAAAACGACCCCAACGTTCGAAATCCGACGTCCCTTCTCGCGTGGACACATGGATATCTGAACACCTGCGGTCTACCACGGCACGCGTCGATTATCGAAGTGTCTAGAAGCACGAGAGTGGAAATTCATTTTCGGATTTTCCATATCTGGCATGTCGACGCCGGTTTTTCGCCACCAGTGGAACGTCCAAGCGTCGGACATCGCGAGGAGAACTCGCAACCCCATAAGATCTATCGTGGAGAGCCTGGTCATCGAGCCTAATCCTGCTAAATCCGTGATCTCGTTGTCCATCGGTGAGATTTTCACTTGTGTCGAGATTAATTTTAGTCTGTCGGTTTAAACTGGAATTATGAAGCGAGGAAAGCGGAAAAAGGAAGAAGGAAGTGTTACGTGATATTTTTACTGTGCGTTGCTTCTATTTGGGAATGTAGGTAAGCTTGGTAGATGGTTGGAGGTGTGGAAAAATTGTTGTTAGGAGAGAGACTATACGTGAGGTGAATTTTAATACCTTTTTTCGTATGAAAGAGGATAGGATTTTGAGAGTATTTCAGCTGTGTAATTAAATATAAGGTGTATCGAAATAGGAAACGGCAATGAGAGGAAGAAAATTTTAATTTTAATTAATTATTTTATTATTTTGATACTCTTATACGAGCTGTCTTTTATAAAATCCTATAAAATCTGGAAGACTGTGTTCTAAATGTTGTGTATCAAAAATATTGGGAATGAGAAAAAGTTCAAAGAAATTATTAAAAATTGAAGTTGGCAGGTTGGAAAATAAATGAAAGTTTTCTTATTCTAAAAAAATTTGCATGTCACCTTCACAGGACTCTTCGAGATCATCTTAAGGTCGAACAATGATTATTATGATATGATCCCTTCGATACTCTACAGCTGAAAAATATTTTTGCACTTCTGATACTTACAGGAATAATCTCATATAGATACTTAAAATGACTATACCGTACAATGCATTTATATAATAATAATTATTAATGTTTGTATACAGTATGTGTAAATATCCATTACAGGCCAGCAGTTTGAATTTTAATTTAATCAAAATTTCAAAACTTCCAATCAACGCACAAGTGCCTGAGGGATTTTCAAATTCATTCTTTTTTCTTTTTGTAAACCAAGCTTTCGTTGAAAAAATGTTATTCTGTTTCTGTTTTATTTATTTTTGTATATCGAATCGTCATCCAATTATTCCAGGTTATATTAAATTTTTTTGGAACCCCCTGTCTATTACGCGTTAATAATGATAAGTGAAGTTGTATAATAAAAACAAATTTATTTCAATAAATATCAATATTAATTTTACATTTTTAGTCATTTTAAAAACTTTTTAATCGAAACCAATTATTCTGATTCCTTTGATAGATTCAATATTAATTAAATATATAAAATATATATCAAATATATATATCAAATACATATCTTTGTCTATCATATAACAATACGTAATTATTAATTATTAACGAAAAGTGAGGCTTCTCGTGTAAATATTATTGACATTTATGAGAGTACACATTCCAGATGCGCTTCACGATACCTCATTTCTTATTAAATTTTAATTGTGAAAAAAGAGTAGAAATTTTATTTACTACTACATCAAAATGTTGCAACTCGTGTGTACACCTGTGGGTTGGCATAATTTTTCAGTATTTCGAATATCAGTGTCGAATATTATCTCATAATTTGGGCCACAAAAAAGAAATATTCAATGTGGAGAACCCTGTTACATACAGAAGCAAAACATGACTGTTAGTTGAACGAAAAAATCCATTTTCTAGTAAAATGCACATTAAAATTTTCTAATTAACGTATTTACCAAAAGAAAAATAATTAAGAAGAATTAAAGAAAAGATTTATCTGCATTTATCTGCAATTTATCTGCAAATTTGCAATTTTTCCAATCACCGAAATTTTTACCTTTCATCGAGGTCCTCTCGATAGCTATAAATTATTTGATTTTTCTGGAACGAAAAATTCAGAGTACTGGAATTAATAGGTTTTTCGTCAACTGGTCTTACGAAAATACTATTTAATTTGCAGGCAGGAAATATCAGAGAAAGCGCTCGAAACAGAGACGAATAACAACCTTTCATTACGAGTTTCTGCAATTGGCAAGGAATTTCGTGAGACCGGATAATTTCGTGTTCTTTCCTTATCATAGTCTGTCCGTGTGTAATTAGTTCGAAGTCTGTTCCTTTTTAAATGTCTCGTTTAGTAACAGAATCGTAGGCCATTTAAAACTTTACCTGAGGTTTGTAAATGTGTTTGTGAAAGAAGTTAGGATAAGTGATTGCCTCGTTTCGCGTTTGATCATGTTATATCGTCTTCTTTCATTGAATTATCTGTCCAGTGAAAGAATAATAATGTTTACGTGTTTGTTTGTTTGAGATTACAGATTTTTCTAACAGCAAAAATGAGATTATAGATAGATAAAGTATCTTAAAATAAAAATTAAAGAATCTAACAAATTCTTTTTTATTTTATTTTATTTTGACATCAAGAAGAAATTTTATTTTATTTATTATTTTATTATCGAATTAAATCGAGCCTGTTTAAAATGGTTTAAGGACTTTTTTATTTTTATATAATGTCCCTATTTTTTGATGCATAGTTACTAGAATCAAAAGAGAGATTATAATTTAATGAAAATAATTATAAAATATTTAAACAGTTATGGAATTATGAAGTTATATAATATTTAAATAATACAGTTGGCAGAATTGTCTTAAATATTTGTTACGAATTCGTCGTAAATGTCATTCAAAATTCCGTTGTCAGAATAAGCATCATAATGGGAAGAGGGAGACAAATTTCTCCTTCAATGTGATTATAATCTCGAGATGTACATTAATATCTTAGTGTGACACAATTGCCATTCTCAAGAAGCAAATTAGCGGCAACCACCGCGTTTCTTAATTATTTAAGGCCTTTAAGCACATTGCAGCTTAGCTCGAGCAATTCATTACGTACGTTTGCCTATTGTCAAACTTAATGCGCTTCATAGCCAGCTAGAATCGTTGAACAAAAATAATAGATGTAATTAACATTTTCTGTGACTCGTGTAGTTAATGTTAATCGACGATATTAAATCAGAGCATCTTATTAATTTTCAGGTGATCCAACTACTTTTGGCAATTTAAGACCGCCTAAGGAAGTAATCGAAGCTGTTCAACAAAGTTTGCTTTCCCAATCATACAACGGATATGCACCAAGTACAGGTAATAACATTAATTACTAATTTGCAAAAAGTAAACTAATAACAAGAATAGAGTGATATCTACTTCAATTTTTATTGATTTTTATTTCTTCTAAATTTTTTATTGTTACCTAATTATTAATATTATTCATTAAATGTTTTATATTTAGATCTTATTGTTTATTATATTTTATCAGATTTGTTATGTTAGTGCTATCCATCGAATTTTTCCCTTAAATTGTTAGTTACGCAGTCTTTCAAAAAGTCTTTTCAACTTTCCAACTTCAGGGTACCAGATCGCAAAGGAAGCTGTAGCGGAGTATAGTTCCAGCGAATTTGTAAAAGTGGATGCTAAGGTAAACTTTTAAACGATTAAAGTAAACACTGTTTACGACATTTTAATCACATTGCATGCACTCGTAACATAATACTTATATAAACCAAGAGAAAACTTTATTCGACGTATTACGGTTTGGTTACTTTACACGTTCATTGCCAATCGAAGTTTCATTAGCCACGATGTAACATTTTAACATGTTGATGAAACATTTTTACCACAAAATCCACCTTTCGCATCGTACAATATATTTCACGTGAATTATTATAAAAACATTGTTAAAATTTCTCCGCTTTTTATTCCCTTCTCGTATTCAAAACAACGTCGCACGCACGTATGTGCGTTACATACGAACGCAACGCGTATGAAATTGCACGTGTCGAAATATGTCGAGGAGAAGAAAAAATTGGAAATAAATAACTTCGCGTTAACAAATCAATTATCCTGACAAAATTCGTGCAATATTGAATCGCTGTTCTATTCGATATAATACCGATTCCGAGCAAATATACGACACTACGAGCTATTAATTACATTTATTTGCGATCTCTACGACTGTCACCCGTGGCAAAATGTTGGAACTCGATAAACAACGACAGCTAAAAACGTTTCAAATTTTAACACGTCGCTTAACAGTCCACACATATTTCCCAATTGATTTCTCTCATTGACGAGACACGCGACATACGTCGATATTAAAACCTCATCCGCCATTTTCCCTCGACCTCGTTCTCATCCTAATTAAATAAACTTGCCAATTATTCTTGTTCGATGAAAAACATACCTGTCGTTCGCGTCAGGTTTATTGCAAAATACGATAAAGCGTTGTGAAAAGTTCAGCGGAAAATTGGACTTCGTTTACAAGGATATCAAATGAAAAGTCGTCCCAATGATGGCTTCGTTAGGCTCGAAATTATTTGAGTGCCTTCGCAAACGAACTCGCGACGATTCTCGTTTTTGGAGAGGAACGCGAAAGCAGTAGATACTACACGAGCACCCTTTATGTGAACGTTCGATTATACGAACGGTAAATTTTCCATTGTAACACAATGTATGTGAACATAAAAATATTTCTTTTTGGTGTAATGAAATCTATCTACAGAAATTTGGCATGAAATTGACATCGATTTTGTGATAATAATAATAACAATGAGATAATATTACCGTTGAAGGTTCATTTTATTATAATAATATAATATTAAAACGAATCGATGTGAAATTGGTACAGTGAGTAGATCATATGGGCGTTATAGTGGAATATTGTTATAATAATATAGTAATAACAAATGACAATAATTATGTAGTATAATTTTGTCAAAATGGAAAAAGGTATGACATAATCAAGAGACTCAAACGCGAAGAATATGCAATTTTATTAGACAATTCTAATTTCTAATTTTGTGTTCGGTGAATAATTTTCACTCTGTTTTATTTTCTATTAAGTATTAAATAAATATTTAATATCTTTGTCTCCCAATTAATTCGTGTAATGGAGGTTCTACTGCATTCCAATCTTTCGGGCGGATATTAAACATTTCTTTCACTGGAAACAGTACTTCGTCATGGATTTTGCGGAACGTACGGTTTAATACTTTCGAAATATAAAATGAAGGTTTACGTACGCGATATGCTTTGGGAAATAATTTATGAAATATGGAATACCGAGTGCTGAATTAAATTTGTAGCGAACTGTAATGCATTAAAAAAGATTTATTATCATAAATTCTATATGTATTTAAAACAGAAAAATGGGAACAGAAATTAATTTGAATTTCGTAGATCAGATTGATCTAATTCCGGAGTTTCTCAAACGTTTCCGGCTCACGACTCCCTTCTTAACCTCGGTCACTCTTTATGGGCCACTTTCGCTAATTTTTCATACTTTCCAAAAATTTTAACTCATCGAAATTGGACATGATCACTTGTATTGAATTCTTTATGTTCACGAATTTATGCTCAAAAGTTTTGTGCCAGGATTCCAAATTCTTTCATTCTCTCGCGTGGACTCTAAAACTTGGTGCTAGATCCACTAGGGATCTTTGTGATCTTCCTTAACACCAGATTTACGGAACCCGTCAATAGTTAACTTAGTTAACTTATATTAAGACTGTTAATATAATATATAATTGTTTGTAAATTAAACTAATCGTTAAAAAAAATGGCACGTGGTTTCCTTTACCTGTCAATTTGACAGGTGTCCTTAGAAATAGGTATACAGATGGCGTCCGTAAATCTAGTGTTAAGGAACTCTGAAATAATGCAGTATCAAGAAATTCATATCACCAGAGTCTCTTTTCTAAACTATCTGTGTACTTTTTGCATAAACCTTAGGATCTCAGGTCTCAGAACTCCGAATACAGAACTCAGTATTTAGGACTTAGAACTTAGAACCTAGAAGTCAGAACTCCAAACTCAGATTTTAGATCTCAGAGCTCGGAGCTCGTCGTTACTATTTGTTTACTTTTTTAACAAAACTGGTCATCAAAGTCATCGTCGCTGCTATATCGTATGCGTATTGGGTGAGAGAAATGAAAAAAATAGAATAAGAATATATAGAAAAAAAAGAGAAAAAAATTGTTGGAAGAGAAAATGCAGAAGCGTCTGGTTATTCCATATTGTTATCGATCTCTAGGGAACCGTGCTACTGAAAGCCACGTTGCATACAGATTGCTTCCGGCTACGCCTTGTTTTGCATTCGCAAATAAATCATGTGTATTAATTACATTCGAAGTCTGATTAATTGTTCTACTTCGTGAATTATTTGATTAACATTTTAGGAAATGTATATACCGATATAAATATCGCAGGATCAGCAGATTCAACGTTAGCTTTGATATTGTCAGAATATCCGAGAACTATGATTAACTTTGTTAATTTAATGATTTAATGTTATAGACAAATCTTCGAAAAAATAACTATAGAAAATATCAGAAAAATAATTTTTCTTTTCGTAGTGTGTATATATACCTTTAAAAAAATAATCGTGTAGATATTTTCATTTAAAAAGATACTCGATATCATTATATATAAGCATTTAACAACATTAAAAGAATTTTTATTTAGAAAAATACTTTAATACTATGATAGACATATCCAATAAACTACACTGTTTAACACGAATTCTAACCTCTAATATACATTGGATAACTATTGCAGAGATTACCCATCTGGATACGAATACATAATTGAGATTCATTTATCATCCATAGTTTCCGAAAAATATGAGTTATTCCAAAAAGGAACGATTTTGCGCTAAAATAAAGTATTACATAAAAAATAAAAACGTTAGGAGATTTATTCTTGTTTCACAAGTTAGGTAAGAGTATCCCGAGATCATCTATGTCCATAATTATAGTTATTCGTGCTTCTGAATAAGAATACTTTGTCATCAAAGCTAAAAAATAAGACGCCGAACGTACGAGCTTCCGACGCACTATTCTAACAGTTTTACAATATCGTATTCTGCAGACTTTTCTCGAGAAAAAACCATAGAACAGAATTATCGAAACAGCTTCCAATTTGACTAGATCAAGAAAATATTCGTTGGTAACGTGTACGGCACTCAGCTATTACTCGCTTCTCTAGCCTCGACAGTGCCGTAGCTACGCGAGACCGAGAAAATACAATTCCCTACGACTATACAAACAATCGACACATGTATATATGTATCTCTTTCGTGTATTTATAATGATACATATTCATTGCTTTGTTCTTCGCTTGTGATTTTAAAACTGTCCACATTCTATGCAGTCAATAATATATTAGTTAATAATGAAGGTACAATTAAAAAAGATTAAGAAAAGAAACGTTGCCTCCAATCAGTAGCAAAATATGGTATGTAATACGAATTCTGTTAATAAATAAACACACTAGACATCCTAATGTAACCCGTTAATACAGCACTAATTGCTTCAATAAGATTCCTAAGGATAAAATTACGCGCAAGACACTGCCAGCGCCATCTATGATTTGGGCTCAAAAATCAAGAAAGTGATAGGAATATAGAATAGGCAAAGAGGTCGTCGGTTGGCAGGTCACGTGACAGGCAAGGACAGAGAGGGGATAGAAAAGGATAGAAGGGCTCCGACAGAGAAAAGTTAATAAATTACTCAATTTCCGTAATTAATTTATGAACTTTTATAATTTCATTGCAAAGCTGGAACTTCAGGCAACATTCTTATACAACCTTTGTAAAGAATTTAACTCTAAATTGTTAGTTATTAATTTTTGTTTTATGGCGTCTATGATTTCGTAACGACGACCATCGCGACCTTCCGTGAAAATATTTAATACTAAACAAAACTAGAATCAAAATGTGATCAAAAGTTATATGAGAAGATTCGCAAGAACATTGTTTTTATAATGAGTGCATAAAGTTTCATAAATTAATTGCATAAAAGATAGTAATTAATGGAAAACCAATGGCGACTTCGACAACAATTCAAACACTCGGTAGAATAATAATTAATAATTAATTAATTAGAGACAAATTTATATCAAAAGTCATATTAGAAAGTTCACCAAGGCTATGCCTTTATGATAAAATTATGAAAGTTCATAAATTAATCACAGAAATTGAGTAACTTATTAATTTTCTAATACCGGATGAATATTCGAACGACAACAGAGGTTCAAGGTTCCAGTCCAAACTCATAGATGCCGCTGATCGCAGGCGGTAAAATTTGAATCGATCATTATTCTAATAAATTAATTTGGCAAGTGCAAAACTAATAAATTCTGAGTTTCAGTAATTAATTTATGAACTTTTATAGTTGCATCGCAAAGCTGAAACTATAGGCAACATTCTTTTGTCATTTTCGAGAATAATTTGATGCTAACTAATTTGTTATTTATATTTTAATTGAAGGCGTACGTAATTTCGTACCAACGACTATGATCTTTTGAGAAAATATTAAATAATGGACTAAACTAGAAGTACAATGTGAACAAATATGTATAAGAAGATGTTCAATGATATTCCTTTTATAATGTGTGCATGGAATCTATAAATTGATTGTA